ATGCTGGATCGGAGGAGGAAATTTGCTGGGAGCCCTGGGAAAAACTGCTGCATGGCCGGGGAGCGGGAGGCAGAAGAGCTGCTGGGATGTGGGGCTCGAGGCAGGAGGTTTGGGAGCCGCCCGCGTTGCCTTGGCTGGGAGATATTCCAGTCCCCTGCACGGGGACATCAGCAGGAGCTGGGTGGTGGCGGGGGACACCCAAAGGGTGTCTTCAGGGCCCCTCCGCTGCTGCAAAGACCACCGAGGGCAAATGCTCCATGTCTAACAGAGACACAACCCCCTGCTCCCTTGCTCCAGCGTTTCCCACCACACCTCTCCCTCCAGTATCTCCCTTTACCCCGCAAGGGACTCGCCTCCTGAGCCCACCCAAATGTGCCAAGGACCCCAGGGATCCTGAGGGATGAGGCAGGGTCTCACCTCCCCCCGAGCCGCCCCAACAGCCCTGGGGATGCTCTTCCCAGGAGAAGTTTCCTGAGCCGAGCAAGCCCCCGTTGCACGTTCCCCTGTCCCTTGAACCTCATCCCCTGCCCTCGACAGGGACCAGGGAGTGAGAGGAAAGCCCGCAAGGCCTCCAGCTCCCCCCATCTTTCACTCATATTCAATATTTTGCCTCTTAGGGGCCACGTTGAGCCCATATTCCACCTTGGAGGAAGACTTTCCAACTAATGCCTCGAGTCAGGAGCTGCTGGGGTGAGCTCAGACCTGCGAGCGCCCTTCCTCCTCCACCTGGGGTCTGTAAGCAGCACAGCCGGGGGTGAACCGCGGGTGCCAGCCGGCGGGTCCCGCTCACAACGTGGGTCAGGGGCTCAGAAGATGACCCCAGGGCAGGGTGGAGGGCACCCCGGATTGCGGGGAGATGTCCTCCTTGCAGCCATCCCACCAAGAACGGTCCCGTGAGCTGGTGACAAAGGCGCTGCCCGAGGGGGAGCGGAGGGAGCGAAGGCAGCACGCAGCCCCCGGGCCGAGCTAATCGGAGAGAAACCGTGACGTAAGGCGGGGGGAGGCAGGGTCCCGGCCTTTCCCAGGCTCTGCCGTGCTCCGCGCTCCGGTTCCCTGCCAGTTTATCGGCCACTGGAGCACAACCAAGGGAACATCGGCCAGGACAGAACAAACAAACATCTGAGTTTGGGCTTCCTTCCTTCCTTCGAATAACCAAAAAAAAAAAAAAAAAAAAAAAAAAGAGACAGAGCGGGAATTAAATTAAAAAAAAAAAAAAAAAAAAACCTGAAACAAATCAAATAAGCATTTGTGTTTGCACGGGGACGTGATGCATTCTTGGGAGTGGGAGCTCAGCCTCAGGGAGAAGTAACACCGAAGCAGTGAAGCCGGAGACACGAGGAGCGGACCCGGCGCACGTCCCTCGGCTCCGACAGCCCTCGAATCGGCACCGCAGCGGGGCCTCTGCCTCAGGTTTGAGCTCGCTTTCCTAACACGGTTGCGTGCTCCGGGTCCCTCTTGAAATCACTGACCAACATCACTGCACGAGACAGCTTGGGGGTGACTTTAGTCCTCGTAAGTGTCACGAGAGAGTTAGGAGGGGTGCAGAGAGGCTCAACCCCTTATTACACACCAGAAAATCCCCCGGGACTCTCAGGTCCCTAGCACACCACCGCGTTTCCCCAGTTCACAGCCTGTTTAGAGGGAAGTCCTGGTGGGTAGAGGTTGTTTTGCTCTTTCTATTTCACCACAACAGCCTTGCAGCAGAGGTAGGTTAGGACCAGCCAGCAAGTGGAGCTCCAGGCCATGGACCCTCCTCTTGGCCTTTCTGAAAGGTCCTCTGGATTCTCCTCTGATCTTGCTGTGCTGTGTCATCTAGGATGGGCTTTGTTGGGTTGTGTCAAGCTGGGTTGGGTCATGTCATTCTCATTGTGCTGTGTTGGGTCAGGTTGTGTTGGGTCATTGATGTTGGGTTGGGTTGTGTTGGGTCACTGAGGTTGGGTTGGGTTATCCAGGTTGTGTTGGGTCATTGATGTTGAGTTGGGTTGGGTCATCCAGGTTGTGATGGGTCATTGATGTTGGGTTGGGCCATTCAGGTCGGGCTGTATCGAGTTGTGGTGTTTGGGTTATATCAGGTTGAGTTGGGCTGGATGGTGACATTCAGGTTGGGCTGGACGTGCGTCAAAATGAAACAGCTCCTACACCCACACTGACATTTTTCAGCATTTTTGTCCTACGAACCATTTCCAGGAATATCCCCTATCTGCTCAGCCGCCCTTTGATCTTGCTGCTCTTGTGGAAATTGCCACGTTTCCTGGAAAATGTGAATCCCCTGTCCTGACCTGCGGAAATATCCCCCCCTCGTTTTTGCCAGCGCAGAAGCCACATGTAGAAAGAAACCTGCACGTGCCCTGCACGTCACCGAAAGCACCGCTCCACGTCAACGCGGGCAAGGCGACCCCCCGAGAAATCCCACGAGCGGGGAACAGGGACCGATTCCTTGCACGACTCAAGAGGGGAGCGAGCTAGCCTGGCGGAGGATGCATCTGTAGGATGCGGAGTCCCTTTCCTCTACGCGCGGCGATGAGCCGCTGACCTCGGAGCCCCGTGGCGCTGGAGCTGCCGGCGGGGCCTTTCCCAGGCAGAGGGCTAATTCTGCGTCCTCCGGGCCGGATGCGGCATCTCGTCACCAGCGCCCATTAGAGAAGGGAAGAGCATTGTGTGGGCTGTTGCTTTTTTTAAAACCCGTTTGTGACCCTGGGACTAGCACGCGAGTGAGAGCCGCTGCTGGAGGAAGGAGGGGAGAAAGGGGACAGAAAATTCCCAGATCCCAACTCGCCCTGGGAAATCCCCACAAAGCTCCTAGGCGCTTTCTTTCCCAGATCCCACGTGCCACAGGTGCGTGTGGGAAGCACCTGGGGGAGACGGCAGCCTGCCTGCCCCTGCCCCTGCCCCCCCTCCCCGAGACCCAGCGCCAGCAGCAGAGGCTCAGCTCCGTGGGGTACAGGAGGGACAACAAGCTCCAGAGAACCCGCTTCCACGCCCCAAAGGGTGGCTCATCTAAGAAACAACCCCATGAGCCACAAAGCAAGGGATATCCCGATACAGCCACGCTGCCCGTCGCGAAGGTGGCCAGTGGGGACACCACGGGAGCAGGATCGTACCTCCCCAAGGCCCCCCAGTTTCCCCCAGACTCTGGAGAGCAGCCCTTCAGCCGATTGAGCACAAGAAAAGGGACCAAGGGACAGGTGACTGGCACTGCCCAAGCACCAGCATCACTCAGGGCCGCCGGTTCCTCCAGGGAACCGGCACTGGGGCACCCCGGGAAGGGCCTGCGACAAATTCTCATGGAGGCCCGAGATGCCTCTGCCGTGAGCTCAGCGACTGACTAACTTGTTTATCTCCCCTGGGAGCTGCACTGAGGTTTTTGGGAAGCAGCAGATCCCCCGCCAGCTCCTCTGCCCATTCCAGGCGCCGCCCCCACCCCTTTCCTGAAAAACACTCTCGGAGAACAGAAAGCTGAGGTGACACCACCACGGCCCCTCGCTGCAAAGGCAATCGCGGCAAGCGGCGGTTCTGCCTCTTGCCAGACCGGGACACCCGGCAGCAGGGAAATTAGGGACTCAAAAAGCCCAAATTGTGGAAAACCGGGTGTGGAAACTGCAGCACAGCAGAGATGACACACCGGGGAAAAGCCCCGGGTGCTGCGCTGGGGTGGTTTGTCCACACGGGTACTGGGGAGGGAGAACTGAGCCCCAGTCCTGCCTCACCTCCAAAATACAAGGCAGGGGTGCTGGCCCCCCAAGGGCGACGCCGGGGCTCAGCACCGCTCAGGATGTGTCCAATGGGCTGGGGGGGCTGCAGGGTTAGTCACTGCAGGGGGGCATGGACAACCGTTGATGGGGCAAGAGGGGGTGCAGGGAGGGGGACGGGATCCACGCCTCTACAGAAACATCACATTTTAGCCTGGGACCAGTGGGTTTCAGCAATCCACCCATAACCAGACCCCAAGCGTCTCGCGGATCCTCACCCCACGCTGCCAGCCCCGTGTCCCTGCTGCTCCCGCAGGCAACTCGGTACCGCTCTCCTTCCCTGCGGATGCTTCGTGGCAAAGAAAAAACAAAGCAAAACAAATAAACCTGAGGTATCTGGGAGCCGAGGTGCTGCCCCAAGGTACCTCGCCGCGTCCCCCCCCGTGCTCAGGGGAAGGTGGCCACCAGCCCTGGCAGGAAGAAGCCCCCCGGGAACCTTGAGGGCTGGGAATTTGGCCTCAGGGAGGCGGTGGGAGGGCGACGGGGGGGGCCCAGCTCGGCTCGGCCCAGCTCCGCGCCTGCCCCCGCCTGCTCTTCCACACCCACACAGAAAACCTGGCGTTCTGGTACCTTTCGACAGAAAATCGGCATTTTTTATACCCCTACCCCACCAAAAGGTGGTGCCTGCGCCCCTCCCGCCCCCGGGGGCTGAACCCGCTCCCCGGCCCCGGCGCCACCAGCAACATGACAGCCGCCTCCTCCCGCCAGCGCCGCACGCATGCGCAGCCGCCCCACCGCCCGCGACGTTCTACACCGCAGCGCGCCTCTCTATGGTCTCCCCCCCCGCCCCCCGCCTCCGAGGCGCTCTACGCTTAAAACCAAGCGGCTTTGGGCTCGGCCGGCAGCGGCCTCTCATTGCCTGCACGATGGCGGGAGGAATTTTCTATTCCCAGAGACTTTTCGCCGCTCCTACCGCCTCCACGCTCTCGGGACAGCCCGCTCTCTTTATAGTGGGGGGGGGGGGGGGGGGGGGAGTGGCGCTCTACCCGCCCACCAGGTCTCTATGGTGCGCGCGGCGCTCTATCCGACGGCCTCCCAGCTCTTTAAAAGCGGCTCGGTGCGATGTCCCGCTCGCTGCCGCCCGGTGCAGGCCGCGCCTTGTCCCTCTCCCGCTGGCAGCGGTGCCGGCCCGGCCCGTGCCCTCACTCTGCGCGCTTCATCCCCTCCTCGTACCGCCTCTATGGTTGCAGGCGCTCTACCCGGCGGCCCGCTCTCTATGGCGGGCGGCGCTCTAGCCGAGCCCGCCCGCGCTCTGTGGAGCGGCCCCGCCCCGGGGCGGCCCGCGGCGCCGCTTGAGGCGGCCCCCGGCCCCGCTCGGCCCCGCCGGTTTGGGGCCCGGGAAAGTGGCTCAGGGGGAGCCGGGGTCGGCCCCGAGCCCCGGGGGGAGCCGCTGAGGTGGGTCGGGGGGGGGGGGGGGGTTCCCAGCCCGGGCCGCGTTCCCCCCGCGCCGCTACGGGCGGGAGCCGGCGGCCTGGGAGCCGCCGCAGCTGAGGGCCTCTAAAACGCGGTTTGTAACGTGGGTCTTCCTTTGTTTCTGTTCGTTTTTTTAAAAGGTCAGCGGGCACCCTGATTTAAGAGCCTTTGGTTCCTCAGGTGGCGTCGGCTTCCTGCAGTTAATGCGTGAAAGCTTTCGAGCGGCGTTGCTGGCCTGGCTGGCGCGGGCGCCGGGAGGAGGAAGCCGGGAAGCGCCGTGCCCGCCGGTGAAGACCCTCGGTAACTCGTTCCGCCTCCCCAGCCCATCCGAAGCCTCGCTTCATCTCTGCCCCGCGCTCGCACGGTCCCAGGTAACTTTAGCAGACCCACAGTTCCGACCTCAGATCCCATCAGCCTGTGAACGAGAGCTTGCAGCTCGTGGGCAGAGGTGTATTCTCTCCTTCCCTGATTAAAAAAAAAAAAAAAAACAAAAAACAAAACAAACAAAAAAAAAAACCAACTAACCAACAACGCCTCCCTGCTTGGGAGAGCCGCCTGGCCCCTCTCTGCCAGGGCAGGACCTAGAGCGGGTGAATGAAGTGAGTTACTAACAGGAATTTACTGCAGTAAGTATCCCTGTGGGGGTTGTACCACGAGGGCTGGCTGCTTTGCTGGAAAAAAGAATTAGAGCTTGTTTCTGTTAAGCTGTGCAGCCTGGAAAGGCTGTGCTTGAGATGGATGAAGGAACTGCAATAATGTTATGGGAAAAGGTGGTGGTGGGGGGTTGGGTCTGGAGTCAGGTGGTTGGTGTTAAATGTGGGGTGAGCAGATAATTACTTCAAGGCAAATGAAGTAGTTGTGAAGCTGGCAGTGTCTGGGATGTCTTTATTAGCTCCTTAATTTAATTGAAATCCCTGGTGGGGAAGGGCTGGAAGGGGAATCTGATTCCTGACAGCAGAGATCTAATATAGTTGTCTGCCGCAGCAGTGGGGGCTGCAGGGGAGCAGGAGCCTTTCTCGGCAGGGGACAGCCAATCTGCCTTTTGTTTCTTTTGTAATTAATAGGTAAGCTAGGTCGGCGCAGGCTGTTAAACCTTTAACTCTGCCAGCAAGCCAGTGCCTGTGTCTGAGAGGTGCCTGCCACCCCTGGGGACTTGGCCAGCCAGGGGCTTTGTCACCTGGGTTAGTGTTCTTGGCTCACCTGGGTCTGACACAGCCCCCTCAGGGCAGCAGCTCTGCCTCAGCCTCTGCAGCACTCTTCTTTTTATCCGTGTTCCCTTCATAAAGGTTTCCCTTGCTCAAGCAGTGTCGCCGTGTGGTGTTTGGGTACGTCTTCCAAAGCCAACAGGAATGTCAGATTACATATTTGTAGCCAAGGGGCCAGCAGGACCTGAGACTTGCAGGCAGACTATTTCTCAGCCCACCTTGAAAAACAATTTCTTTTCTCTTTCTCTCTCTTTTTGGAGTGTAAGGCCTGTTGTGCTACTGAAACTTTCCCATTTTTGTGGATCAGAAATCTTTGCTTTAGCCAGGTGCTTCTAGCAATGAAAAAGGATCCATGGATGTAAACAACTGAATGTTTGGAAATGTTTAATGAAAAAAAACATAATATCTTTCAGATGCCAAATGAGCTTGAAAAACAGGCTGGACATGCTGTCACAGAGTGATGAAACAGGTCTGTTCTCAGCACCAGCAGTCAGGGCATCACAACAGTTTCCCTAGCACTGTCAGCCCTGTGTCACCGTGTTCCTTCAAGGTTTTTGCTAAAAGCTGGCTAAACACCACAGATTTGTGTGGTTTCTCCTTCCATGTGTGTTTTCATCGCTGAAACTATTTGGTTACTAATTTTTCCAGCTCAGTATTTTTCTTTGCTCAAAATGGGAATTGTGGCTTTTTATCAAAGAGCTTAAAAACCAGAATGATTGCTTCAAATGCTGCTTCTGTCAGCAGTAAGACAAACTGCTGAAGCGCCAGGCGGGGGAAGTCTCCTGGACAGATGAGCCCCTCGCGAGGGCCGCTCTTCCTTCCTCCTCCTTTCAGAGCATGGCTCTTGGCTTTTCTCTCAAGAGACTTTTGGTAATTCCTCAAATCACAATACGTTTGAGTTTTCTGTATTTCCCTCCGGCACCCACAGCTCTGTTCGTCCCGTTCACTCTGTCACTTCTAGCGTGGCTCCTGTGCACGCTCTTCTTTTTCATCCACTGCAGGGTGGACTCTTGGATAGGCTGAGCCACACAGAAGATACTCACATATAATGCCTGCACGGGATTTTTGCCTTGCCTCTGCAGAGGGGCAGACCTGGTAATTGAACATCTCTCCCTTCTCAACATCTACTTGCATTTACACATAGAGTGGTTTAATGTCTTCTTCCTCCTGCCCCTTTTTTTTTTTTTTTTTTAATTTCAAGGGAAATTTTGTCTTGAAATCTCTCAGTGGCTGCATTTCACTGCTCCCCAGGTGAGCTGTGTGTGGTCTGGACAATGTAAAGATGAGAAGCATAAAGGTGAGGTAAACGGAGGGCCTGAGAGAGAGATTTAGCTGTTCACATAACTCCAGCCAGGAGAGAGCTGTTAGCTCTTACTAAATACACGCAGAGGTACAACGTAAATTCTCTCTAATCATAGGGATTTTTTTTGGTTTCAACTCCTCTTAGTTTTAGTATTTCTTGGAAAGATTTAATTTAAGGCTTCTCTGAGCTGTTTGTGGTGTCTGCTTCCAGCAGGAAGAGCAGAGAAGCGAGAGGTCTCATTGATTAGATTAAATATCTGGGTCACTTACCGTTACCTGTGTTTATTCTCTGGTAAGTTTTGACAGTGGAAGAGGATGAGATAAAAGGAGCGTGTGCAGCAAGAGATAGCTACGGCTGGAGCTGCCCCAGGCAGAGGCCACTTTCTAAATGGATTTGTAGATGAGTTTTCCTGTCAGTTTTGGGTCCTGTATGAGGAGATACCGGGCATATGAAAACAAGCTGCTGCTTTTTTTCCCCCTCGGTTGGGTTAGTGGATATCCTTCATACCCAAGAGCCAAACTGGATAGGGTCTGCCCTCCTGCGTGTCTGTCTCAAAGAATAGTCTTTGTCAGTCATAATGCCTGGTTCAGGGAGTTAAATCATTTCTTTGAGCTTTGTAAAGCCAATAAACATCATAGTCAGCTCCTGGTTTTCTACAGCTGCAGATTTTCTTAATAACTAAGTTTGCATATCAAATTTGACCAATTCTTTTTCTTAGACTAAACTTTCAAAGCTGGTGGGGAGGAGAGGTGAGGTGAGGCATTCTCCCAGAACTTAGCATTGATATTTCTACACAAACTGATACTCTGGCTGGCTGGAGACCACCAAAGGGAAAAAGTAAGTATTCTTGTGTGTCTTCTGATGCCTGATAGCTCTGGCTCAGGCTGTGTAGGTTCTCTGGTGCCCCAGTTTCTCTGTAGTGAGAGTGCTGGAGTCTTTTAGGATGCTGCAGCTCAGGAGCTATAAAAAGCTTCCCAGGCTCCACAGCTGTGTTTGAAGTGCAAGGTCAGTTGTGTTAATGGAGATCTTGGCTACTGCAGGTGTTGGGCAGCAAGCAAGGAGCTCCCGGTGCCGCCTCTTATGTGATGTGGAGTGAAATGTCAGCTTCTCATCTGTTTGTTTAGTATCTTTATCAGTGATCTGGACAAGGGGATCGAGCGCACCCTCAGTAAGTCTGCAGAGGCCACCAGGTCGGGCAGCGTTGATCTGCTGGAGGGCAGAAAGGCTGCACAGAGGGGTCTGGACAGGCCAGAGCAATGGGCCAAGACCAGTTGTGTCGGGTTCAACAAGGCTTGGGGCACAACAACCCCACCCAACGCGACAGGCTGGGGGCAGAGCGGCTGGAAAGCTGCCTTGGGGGTTGGGGTGTGGTGCTGGTCAACAACCGGCTGAATGTGAGCCCGCAGTGTGCCCAGGTGGCTGAGAAGGCCAACACCATCCTGGCTTGTGTCAGCGAGGGTGTGGCCAGCAGGACTAGGGGAGCGATCATCCCCCCTTGCTTGGCACTGGGGAGGCTGCACCCTGAATACTGGGTCCAGTTTTGGCCCCCCCCCCCCACTCCAGGAGGGATGCTGAGGGGCTGGAGCACAAGGCCTGGGGGGAGCGGCCGGGGGGGGGTGGGGTTCACAAGCGATAGGATGAGAGGGAACGGCCTCAAGTTGTGCCGGGGGAGGTTTAGGTTGGATATTAGGAAAAATTTCTTCACCAAAAGGGTTGTCAAACACTGGAACGGACTGCTCAGGGGAGGGGGTGAATCACCATCCCTGGAGGGATTTAGAAGATGTGTAGACGTGGCACTTGAGGACATGGTTTAGTCTTGGCAGTGTTGGGTTTACAGTTGGACTTGATCATCTTAAAGGTCTTTTCCAACTTAAACGATTCTGTGACTTGCAGGACGGCCTGATTCCCTGCAGCCTGCTGAGGAGTATTGCATTTTAGCAGCTGCAGAAATCAGAAAATTCTAAGTTGAAATCTTTCTGCAGTGCTAAAGCTGTCAGTGACTTGTGCAAAGACCGCGGCCAAGAACCTTGCCAAACTCGATGGCTGAAAAATGTGCATCTTAATCTCATTCCACATTCTCTTTATAAAAATGTTTCCACTTTCCCCCGCCCCCCTCCCAGAGCTGGCTGTTTATATTTATTTTTTTCCTGCTTAGCAAGTTGTTGCCTGGGAATATGGCACCTCTGATTTTATTGTTATTACCAACTTTTGAGATCTCTGCACTGAGTCAGCTATGAAGTGGAGAAGCAGGTTGGACAGCCAGAGCACTAGTGCCTGTACTCTTCAGATAAGAAAATGAAGGAAAATCAGAAGTCTAGGATAAGAAATGCTTTCCGAGTCTGTGTCTTATCCAGCGATACCACATTTCTACGTGCCTGAGACCAAAGCGCTGTTAAAATCCTGCTGGGTTTAGACCTGACCTCCAGGAATTAATAAACACGAAGGGGTTTTTAGACCGTGGCTTCATATTTTAAAACTTGGAAGGTTTTTGCCCTTGCTCTTTGTATTGAAGAGTTGTTACAAATCTCCCTCTGAGAAATCTCCTAATCTCTAGCTTAAAATTAACCACAATTGGTTTCTCTTCCACGCCAGCTGACCTTCAGCAGAAGTAGTGATCTTCCTCCTCCTCGTTGTTTTGCATTCTTTTTCTAGTACTGACCTAATTACTGGATTCCTCTAGTTCTTGCTTTTCTAACCAAGGTCACTTTACTTCCCTGATTCCTGTAGTTCTGTCCAGAAATGGTGAATTCAAACCGAGAAGGCTGGGGAGGGGCCAGACCTGCAGCAGGTGAGGCTTTGCCAGTGTTTTGCCCATGAGCACTGAACACACAGCTGTGTCTTCTAGAACTGCTTTGTCTGATAAATCCTAGGATCTCATTTGTTTCTTCTCAGGACTGTTTTCTGCTGTGGTTTATGGTGGTGACAAAATAAACAAGACACCCTTGTCTCTCCTCCTTCTGTTTCCAGCTGATCTGTGCAGATTGGATTAGCTAGTTTGTTTAAAAAAAATCCATTGACCCCCTAACGGTTAATCCCCCGTTGCTTTCCATCCCATGCAGTTTTTGAGAGCAGCCAGTTTTTCGCGTGCAACGTCAGGGTCTTCCTCCGGGGTGTTGGTGAGGTCTGCAAAAGTACCTGCTCCGCTGGTCTGAACAAGGGTGAAGCACCCAATTCCGTGGAGATTGCTGCGTGGTCTGTGTGGTGTTAACGCTAAGCGTGGATTGTAGGCGCTGGAAGAAGCTCGGCGGCGTGCCTGCTGGCACTGCCACTGGGAGAACGCAGAAGTGATGCTGGTACTCAGACTTGGCAGTGAAGGTGCTCAATACGAGACTCGCCAAACTCCGCGTTTAGTTATTTTCTTGTGGCCAGGCTGTGCCTGGCAGGTAGGTGACTCTCCTCTGGCCAGGCTGCTGGTTGTCATGCCCACGACATTCCTTCCTCCTCAGTGCCCTGGTTCTCGCTCTCCTCTTTTTGTCAGTAAGTGGCGGGCGTGGAGGGTGACACCAGCTTTGCCCACAAGTGCCCGGCGTGAGAGCGCCGCGATCGAGAGGGGGATTGCGACGCAGCAGAGCGCAGCCCACTCCCCTCGTTTTCCCCCCCCTCTTGCTGTGCAGGATGTGGTGCCGGAGGCTGGCGTGTCTCTTCAGGGTGCCGTGCTGGCTGAGTGGAAGCACCAGACGTCGCTGGCCCGGGCTGCCCCGTGACAGGAGGAGTGTCCTTGCTGCTGCGGCTCGCTGGCATCACACGGCCCCCGAGTCCCTCAAGTGTGCCTGGCAGCTGCACGGCGACCACCTAGGTAGGTGTGTTGGGTGCGTGTGTGCCTGCTTTGGAGGCTGGCTGGGGAGAGGAGGGAGATTTTCCTGACCTTGTTCCCCAGGAGTGATATTTTTGGGGGTTTTTTTGGTTTGTTTTTTTTTCTTTTCCTTTGAAATGGCCTGAGTTAGAGGGACGGGTGCTGGAGTCTGCGTTTCGTGCTCCTTTTGGGAATTCCCAAAGGCAGGATGGAGTGGGTTTGTCTGCTGGCGTTAAGTCTTTTACGATAAACGAGGCGATGCTGAATTGGAAATCAAATCCAGGGATTCCTGATCAATAACTGCATCTGAGCCTTGCCCTGCCAGTCCCCTGTTTTCTGTGTAATGCTCCGGGCTCTGGCTGCCAGGTGGGATGGCTGCTCGGGTGTGTGCCCTGCTCTCTTGCCCCCACTTGGCCAGTTTTCCTTACAACACTGATGGGTGAACCACAGTTGTCCGAGCAGGTTTGCAAGCAGCCTGGCTGGCATGAGCAGCAGGAGGGAGGGGGGCCTTAAAGCCTTTCTGATGCAAATCCTACCTCTCTGTCTAATGCTGATTTTTGTCCTTTTGTTTGTGGAGGTGATTTGGTAACTGAGGCACATGTGTCCCCACGGCCTCTTTGGTTTGATCCAGTCTGCCTGGCTGATGTCTACTGCAGTGAATTAGATGTTGGTACTCTTAAAGTCACGTGTAAGCATAAGGGAATTGCCCAGTACTTTATCCAACACAGTGGCCCCAAGAAAGGATGTTGTTGTTTTCCCACTGCAAAGTGACCTTGGATGCTTGGATTTCAAAGCTGAGGAGGACTAGAGCAGGAGGGGCTCTCCTGTTGCCTCTGCTGGCTCTGACCCCTTCTGAAGGGCTTTGAGTTTCCCAAAGCCGCCCCAGGATGGAACAAGGAGGAGAGGCTTTAGTGCAGTGCTAAATGGATATCAAAGCTTTGCATCAAGGTCTTGATGTTGTCTGTAATGCTTGTATAGTTGGGATGTTGGTGTCATTATTTGGTTGACTCTTACCTGTTATTCCTGTGCTGGGCTCTACAACTGTTACGTACAGCAGCTGCTGTACGGCTCTGAACTTGCTACTTGTTGAAGAGAGATGACAGAGGTAAGGGTGTTTGTTAGCCGTGCTCCTTCACGTTGCAGATGAGGCTGCCTGTAGACTTGGTAAGAAGGGAGACCACAGCGAGATCACTGACAGCCAGGCCAGGCCGCCTCTGAAGTTGCTCTGCCTGGTCTTCGTGTGACGAGCTGGTTTAATTTACTTAGAGGTGCTAAGTCAAACAGCCTCTGCACCCCCTCTGAGTGGGATTGTAACTTGTGGGCTCTCAGTTTCAGTTCGTGGTGTTTTTTTTTTTCCCTCGCTGTTCACACCAATGCATCTTTTGAGCCTTCCCCTCTTCGCAGAGCTCAGGTACGCGAACACGCTGATGCGCTTCGATTTTGTCTGGCTGCGGGACCACTGCCGCTCAGCTTCCTGCTACAACGCCAAGACGAACCAGCGCAGCTTGGACACAGCGAGCGTGGACCTGGGAATCAAACCCAAGGCCGTCCGAGTGGATGAGACCACCCTCTTCCTCACGTGTGAGTAGCAAAGTGCCCGGGCCCTTCGCGTTTTACAGACCACCGGCCCTGCTTGGAGGGAGCCTCGTTGATGGATCCCACTCTTCGGTTTGCTGGGAGAGGGCGGCCTTATCTCTAAATCAGTAGCTGGTTTGGAAGAGATTTAGCTGTAAGCAGACTTTAAACACCGCTCTTCTGAGCAGCGCTGTTACTGCAAACACGCCTCAGTCTTAAATCTGTGTCTGTTTTTCCTCCCCCTCTCCCCCAGCCCTGTTTGGCTAGAGATGTGTGTATCCTCAGCGTCTGGGTATTTTATTGGTTTGTGTGAACACGGCAGCAATGCAGGTAGCGAGCAGATGGGTCAAGAAATGGCTGGTTTGCTTTTCCTCCCCCTGTCCTATTTGAGCTGGTATCCCTGAGCAGAATTCACATTTTCTGTCCTTTGCTCAGCTTCCCAGCTGCCTTCTTCCTTTTGTTGTAGCTTACCTTTATTTATGGGCTTGGCTTCAGTGCTTTACTTCTCCTCAGAGCCCTGTCAGTAGAAAACAAAGCCACTGAAGTTGAAACGCTTGGAGCTGTTGCAGCAATGACAATGCTTGTGGGACTTGTGGCCTTAACCAGGTAACATTTTGGGTGGCATCAGGGTGCAAAGAGCCTGTCAGCAGACAAAATGAAAAGGGTGAGGACTGTCCTAGGCTGCTGGTCGGGCTGTCCAGTGCGACTGCGGTGACTGTGACCCTTCTCCCTTGTCGAAGGGCCGGACGGGCACGTGACGCGGTACGGGCTGGAGTGGCTGGTGAAGAACAGCTACGAGGGGCAGAAGCAGCGGGTCATGCACCCGCGGATTCTCTGGAACGCAGAAATCTACCGCCAAGCCCAGGTCCCATCCGTCGACTGCCGGAGTTTCCTGGAGACAGACGAGGGGTTGAAGGAGTTCCTGCAAAACTTCTTGTTATACGGGATTGCTTTTGTAGAGAACGTCACTCCCACCAAAGAGGACACAGAGATCCTAGCGGAAAGGATCAGCTTAATCAGGTACCTCTGACACTTAATCAGGCCACTGACAGCTTTGTGTGGAGCTGTGAAGGGTAGGCTTATTTTCTTTTTACTGGGAAAGGTGCTGCTGTCTTACCCTGTATATCGTGCAAGCGTGGCCTGGTTTGCAGACACAAGGTCTGAGTCTCCTCCAGCCTCTGGCCACTCTGTTGAATGGAGATGCATTATTGCCCTTGGGGACCTGGCCTCTTCTGGGCAGAGCCCGGAGTCACTGGGTTATGGGGCTGCCTCGGGAGTATACGTTGACTTTTGGGATAGTGGGACTGCACACAGGGAGGAGTGACTGGAGGAAGCAGCCCGTCTGGGAAGCCTAGAGCTTTGCGAGGAGAGACATTTCCTGTTATGACTTGAAAGGTTAGGAGGGCAGCCCCGGCCCTGGGAGCCAGGGAGATCAAAAACAATTTGTAGCTCTCACTAAAGAAAAATATTGAGAAATGTTTCTTCTGTGTTTAGTTCACACCACCAGCATGGCAAGCTGGGGTTTGAGTTTCAGGTTTTATCCAAGCTTTAGAAACAGTTTAACTTGCCTTTGGCCACTGGAGAGGAGGGATTTCTTTAAATGAATAGTGACTGCAAATAGAAACGAGGGGCTCCAAGGAATATCAGCCAACGTTTTTGTCCAGGTTCCCTCACCCTGTAGCCCCTGTTTGTCCTTGTCTTCCGTCTGTTCCCTTCTGTGCGTGTTGTAGCGGGGAGGTGGGTGAAAACGCAGGATCCGGAGAACAAGAAATGGGATTACTGGGTAACGCTGCGGTGGGTACAGGCAAGGGCGAGCTGCACTCTGGCAACTCCTGAGGTCACTCTGTGGCCTCGCTGATTTGACTGGGGCTGGCGTTTGGCGTGGAAAGAACATCTGTGTTTGCAGAGGGGAGGCGAGACCCATTGCCATCAGTCATTTGGGGAGGAAAGAGAGAAATTGAATACTAGAGGAGGCATAAGAAGAATCCATCTCTTGATAACGTGGATTTTAAGTTCTGCTTTAATTTACTCTGTATGTCGGATGGAGGGGAGTAACCCCAAATGCAGGAGGATTTGCTTTACCACCACGCCGACCCCCCGCAGCGCTTGGTGATGACCGCTCACCTCTTTTGCAGGGAGACCATTTACGGTAGGATGTGGTACTTTACCTCCGACTTCTCTCGGGGAGACACAGCCTACACCAAGCTGGCTCTGGATCGTCACACCGACACAACCTACTTCCAGGAGCCCTGCGGGTAAGCGCTTCTGCCGGCTCACGGGCACGGTGCAGGAGGCAGGGGCGATTCACAGTGATGCCGTTTCTCGCAGCACGGGGCTTTCGTCGTCTCCAGTGGTGCTGCTGGGGTGTGCTGCTGCTGCTGCTAGTCACGCAGCAGTTCTGCGTCCTGCCCTGAGCCCTGGGGACTGGGATAGCTTTACTTGAAACTTGTAGGTCTTCCGGAATGCAGGACAGTGAAGGATTTGGCTGTTAGATAGCTGGCTGCTGCTTGGTATGGCTGTGGTTCGGGTGGTCGTTGTAGCCACAAAGAAGGCTCAGCCCTGTAGTCATTTCTGTGCTTCCCTGGAGCTGATCGGGCAGTCCGTGCTGAAATCACCCTCCTCTGTCTCCAAAGTGACACCCAGCGTTCAGCCTCACAGGAAGGAGCAGTTGTGATTTGTCTTTTGGGTACATCTGGCGAGGCTCAGCTCCTCCTGCAAGTGCCCCTTAGCAGCAGCTGTACAAAGCTGCTGCAAAAGTTTCCTTTGTCTTAATCCTGCCCTCCTTGCCCACATCAGCCCTGCCTCTCTTGCTGGCCGAGCTCTGTCAGCGGTACCTTCACGGAAAGGACAGGGAACAGGTCACCTTGGCCCAGCCTGCAGCAACTGTCTCTGCCCTCCCAAGCCGTGCGTGGTAACTGCCGTACATGCGTGCTGTGCCCGCCTGTCTCTGGGCTCTTTGGGGTTTGCATTCTGGCAGTGGTGCAGCCCTGTCGGTAGTCGGAAACCAGGCTTCCCCCAGCCCTTCCAAGTTTGCACTTCTCTGCTTTTAAAAGCCGTTTGTAGCGTCAGCGCTGTCGCCCGGACACTGGTTTGCAAACTGCTTTTCTGGTGTAGCCTCTGGGCTGTGAGTTTTATACACAGCTGGGGAAAGGCAGGCAGCAGCCCTGATCGTGGTTCACAGTGAAGCGCAGGAGACTTAGGCTTAATTTATAGCTTGCTTTATTTTTTTTTTTTGTCATCTTTCATCTCAATCAAGGCGGGAATCATCGGGAAATGGCCTGGAGGAGAACGGGTGGAAGTATTGTGATCTCTTAGGGAGCTAGGGCTGCAAAGAGAAGTCATCCAGTCCACGCCTCCTGCCCTAGGGCAGGATTAGCTCTTCCCTAGTGAGGCTGTTAACTTGCTAAACATCTTAATGGGAAAGGTCTGTGGTGCAGAGCTGTAAAAGCAGAGGAGGACTAAGGGGTGAGATCTGCTGGCTGCCTGAATTTACTTTCGAGCAGCCCTGCAGACCAGGAAAGGCAGAGTTACCCAGGTGGCACCCTGAGCGCTGGTCTCTGCCCAACCAGGCAGGAAGCTTTGGGGTGGTAGAGTTTGTTCTGAAGCAGCTCGGTGTTGGGAACAAAGTGGATTTTCTTGTGCTCTGTGGAGCTACAAGTATACGCATAAAGCAGAGGTCCTGCCACGCACTTCGGGCCAGATTTAGTTGGCTTCCCTGGTTTTGGTGAACAGCTGACTGCAGAACCCATGTGCTTTCGTGACCTGCAGTGTTACCTGCTTGGCTGACTTGTTTTAGGAGCTCCCAAAATCAAATAAAGAAAAGTAATTAGTAATCAGAACTTCAGCCTACAAAAGAGCTTTGATTTGAAACTGTTCCGTACCAGAACTATTGAGCTCATTAGCTGTTTTTATACCTTTATTTATTTTCTGCTTGGAAGGGTTCCCTTCAGATAGGTGTCTTCATCTGCAGCCAACTGAAGTATATCGAGCAATGAGAGGATGGGCTAGATTAGCAGGGCTAACCATTAATGCTTGTAATTCTGCAAAACCATCGTTGTGCAGGAAGAACATGAATTTCTGGCTTTCCTGAGCCCCCATCTCTGCAAGAAATCCCTTCTTCCCAGGCTGTTTCAGACTTGCTTCCAAAACATTTGAAACAGTCTTTGACCTGCTTCTAAATGAAATGAGGTGTTTTTCAAGAAAGATGTGTTCATTTGAATGTCGTCTTTCTTCCACTGCTCTGGCTGAAATCAGCCCAATCTGACAAACCTCACATTATTGCAAAGGGATACAAACTCCCCAAGCTATGGGAAAGACTGCAACGTTATCTCACTCGACGGGTACCAAAGAGCCTCCTGCCCTCAGAAGATGCTTTCTCAGTGCCCTGAGCTGCAGGAGGAGGTTGTTGCCTTTGAGGCACAGCATCCTTTGCTCCAGTGCTTGTGGACTGACTTTGTAAAATTACCCTGAAACTGTTGTTGGGTAGGAGGGTGGTTAGAGCACCCTGGGGTGAAAAGGTGCTGGTGAGGGTGGAGCTGGGAGGTCCTGCCACATCACTTTGCTGTGAGACTGAGTTAAGAGGCCCCGGAGGGAGATGGGAAGATAAAGACTTTCCCAGAAGGTGGCAAATTTCTAACAAGTGAAGCTGGTACACTGTGAAAGTTGGGAGTGGGTGGCTGGAGGCAGTTCCTGGGTATGTGTTCCTAACAGTACAATGCCTGCCTTGCTTGGAGGAAGGAAAAGAGGAGCTTCAGAGAAGTAATAGAAGGACACAAGCCGAGTTGGATGGCTTCCCCAGTAGGGAGGGGGATGTCCCTGTAGGTAAGCTACTCACTGGGGCTCCTGTGCTCCAAGCTTTCCGAAGGGGCTGCAGTGTGGTGCCTTGAGGGACTGCTGACTGCTTGTGGGAGACCATGGTGCGCGTGCCTTTGAGTGAGAGGCACCCTGGGCTCCCCTTGTAGTTCCTGGAGACCTCAACAGTACAACCAGCCCTTCCTTAACCGTCCACTTGTTCTGAGATATATCTAGGGAAGTCAGTTTTATGCCTTTGAACCTCTTCCACTTCCCGGGTGGACTTTGGGTGGCACGGGCCTGACCCAACACCACTTGAAGTCCCCCAGATTCACGTCACTTGATTTGGGAGGCAGCGCAGGCAGTTAGCTGCCCTCTCAGGAAGCAAAATGTGTGAAATTGGGCCTGAAGAAACGGCAGGTACAGCCATTTCTTGCTGGTCTCTCCATTCCCTGGCAGATATTAATGAAATGAGAAGGGTGGTGCACCCATCTACATCTGACTGGGTCTGCGGGGAGCGCTGTCCACGGGACAGGCACCCAAGGTCTTTTGTGCTCTGGATTCTCTCGCCCACGCAGCATCCAAGTGTTCCACTGCCTGAAGCACGAGGGCACGGGCGGGCGGACGCTGCTGGTGGATGGTTTCTACGCGGCAGAGCGGGTTCTCCAGCAAGCCCCTGATCAGTTCGAGCTGCTCAGCAAGGTGCCCTTGAAGCACGAGTACGTTGAGAACGTGGGAGACTGTCACAACCACATGATCGGAGTCGGGCCGGTTCTCAACGTCTATCCCTGGAACAACGAGCTTTATCTGATCAGGTAACATCTACGTGAGGCCTCTCGCTGATGGGGATGGCATTGCGGCGGACGGTAGTGGTTTTCCAGAATATCATAAACTAAAAAACAACGTATGTTTGAGGGGCTGGGGTGAAACCACAGAAATACCCTGCGTTTCCTCTATTGCTGCTTTAGAGGAAGTGTCAGAACCACTGATACAAAGAGGGATGTCAGTGCTGAGCTTTGATTTTTCTTTTTTTTTTTTTTTTTTTTTCTTTTTTTCCTCCCCACTCCTGTCATCCTCCCTTCAACTCCATGCCCTCATCTCACTTCATTTGTGAGGCAGCAGAATTCAGCCCTTCTCTGAAAGAGCCTCTAGAAATAGCGTGGCATACAGGGAACGGGGAGAGCGCTGACTGATCCCCCTCCCAGAGGAAATTTGGTCTGCTTTCAGAAACTGCGGCTTGCCTTAGCACAGGAGGCTGTCCAGCACTGCTTTGCCTTTTTATTCTGAACAGCTCTCAGTCTTACCCATTGCTGTGGTGCATCTTTCCATGGAAAACCAACAAGAACAGTTTTACACTTGTCAGTGAACTCCTCCTTGCTCCCAGTGGTGTGTATTCTCCTGGAAGTCCTGCACTTGCAGCATAACCACCCCCCCCAGTCCCTATAGCCTGCCTTAAATACTGACTAATCCTACAAGCTCCTGAGGTTCCCTCTAGGAATGCCTGGCTGTGCTCGTGGAGCCATGTGGGCAGTCTCTTTTCTCTTCTTTACTTCTAGATACAATAACTACGATCGTGCTGTCATCAACACTGTGCCTTACGACGTTGTGCATCGCTGGTACGCTGCTCACCGCACGCTCACCGCAGAGCTCAGGAGACCGGAAAATGAACTGTGGGTCAAACTGAAGCCGGGCAAGGTAGGGCTTGGAGTTGGGAGGCTCGGGTGTGTTTGGGACAGGGAGGGAGGCCCAGGGCTCCTTTGGATCTGCAAGCTTGTTGCCACCAAAGTAAATGCTTCACGTGAGTTCCGTATGCTGCAGTTTTCCTCTCTACAGCTGTTTTAAGGTGCCCTGCATCACGGCGCTAGCATCTGGTTTGAGTGTGTCCCTGCTGTCCTGAGAGAATACGAGCTTTCACATCAGGCAGAAACGTTAAATTCAAACTCTGCCTCAGAGGAAAGCGAGGGCAGTTTCCCCCTCTGGCTGGAGGAGAGGAGGAAAAATCTTTACAGTCACTGAAACGAGGACCCTCAGAAGCAGAGAGGCTGGCAACACTTAATGTTCACCCTCAAGCTTCTTCCAGAAGAAAATTTTGTTTTGATGGAAATACAAAGGTGTGGAAAGCTGAATTGCCTTCTGAGGTTATTTTTGAATCCTTGCATTGCCAGTGACTCACAGGTGACCTCGGCTACCCTCACTGTCCCAGCAGTGGCTAAGGTGCCTTAGCACCCCGTGGTACCGAAAGGAAAAAGCTCTGCCCTGTGTTTGAAAGGCTGGTTCTGGGTGCAGCTTTGGAGGAGCCCCGAGAGCTAGATCCACAGTTGTAGACTTAAAGGCATTACTGTGCACGGCTCCTTCCTTCAGCTGTGCCTGCTTGAAGGGGTTTTATTCCTACAGGGTCTAGGTTCAGCCTAAGCCCAGGGCCCCAAAAACGAAAGGGTCCAGTCAGAGCCCCTACAGCTATCTGTTCCCAAGGATGCCAGGGGGGCAGTGACCCGTGGAGGCAGAAGATGGCCGGTGGCTCTTGCTGGCGAGCTGTTGCCCAACTTCTCCAGTAGAAAAGCAAAGAAACAGCCTAGAGCGCACGTCTGTGCTTCGCTAGCTGTCATGTTTCAACTCGTGGTTAGCAGCAGAGCAGAACTGCTGGCTTCAGCTAAAACAGCTGTGCTGGATCCCGTGAAACATCTGGCTGTGGTCTCCTCTGCCGGTGTTGAACAGGAAGGGTCGTGCCCGCCGTGGCTTACCCTTACTCTCTGTCCCAGTCTCCGGGGATCTCCAGCTCCGGGAGCTGCCCTGTCAGAGGGTGGTTTGCTCTTCTTCTGACGGCCGTTCCTCTTCTGCAGGCCCTGGTCATAGATAACTGGCGCGTCCTGCACGGGCGGGAAGCCTTCACGGGGTACCGCCAGCTCTGCGGCTGCTACCTGACGAGGGACGACGTGCTGAACACCGCACGCTTGCTGGGACTCCAGGCTTAGCCCAGGCCAGGCCTCCGGCACCGCCACGCTGGCGCCGCGCCGAAGATGTTGCACATACCTCAGGACACCTCCACCTTCTCCAAGCAGCTCTCGGCGGCCCCCCCCTCAGGAGAGGGAGCAGGTGGAAGCCAAAGGTCACGGGAGCTTTCTGGGACCGTATTCTGCCTTTTGAGCACGGTCGGCTCTTGCCGTCTGGGCACCCGGCCTGGTGTTGCCAGGCAGGCTGCCCCAGCTCTGCCGAGCAAGGGTTAATCGAAGCGCTGGCGGCAGCACCTATTGATGTGAAGGGCTCCTCCAGTCAAGTGCCTTCAGGATTTGAAATGTTTGCGTTTTAACCTGTTGTTCAGCCTTTTTGTCAGCTGGCAGCTTTTTTAACAGAGCAGAATGGAAATCTTTGGGGTCTTATCTCACCCCGGGATGGACTTTACCTCATCTAGAGCAAATGAAAATCTATGGTCCCAATTTGATAAAAATGCCACTGCTCAAACTGAGGGCAGCTGGCATATTTCAGTGACTTCTTTCTTCTCAAACATTCTACGTACCCTTGTAACAGTCACTGCTCCAAGCCGTGCTGCTTGGGGGATGGCCTGGAAGGAGAACCTGGTGCAGTTCGGGTGTTTCTGAAAAGGTTTAGGTTAGAAGGAAAGGGGGAGGTAGGAAGATGTGCGTGTTGGGAAGGAGAGGTGACTGTTAGATGAGGGATGTATTTCGCACATTTCCTTGACTTCTAGTAACGTAATGCTCATATTCTGCCTGCCTGTCACACTGTGCTTGTATCGAGGGCGAAGGCTCAGCAGCTGCAGTATTTGCCAACGAATTTCCCGCTGTGCCTGCTCTTTCATCTTTTCTGAAGAAGGAATTTGTGTCAGGTTATCATTACCCTGGCTGCTGGATGAGGCTGGCTGTTCTGGTTTGTTTTTTGTGTTTTTTTTTTTTTTTTTACCAGAATCTCCTGCCTATGAACATGGAGGTGCCTTTCAGCTCCTGGTAGCTGGGAGGATCAATCAGAGTCCGGCACATTGAAGGGCCACAGTGTAAGGAACAAAAGCAAATCCTGTCATTATTAGAAACATTGGAATTGCAGAACCAAGAGGGGATTATAGGATTTGTTTAGTTTTCATCCCTCCATATCTTTGGGGGTGTTCCCTGTTCTGACTAGACCTTGGAACAGAGCTGGTCCTTTTAACTCCTGGCTTTCCTGTGCAAGCAAGATGTGTCCAAGGTACGAGTGCAGTACGGGTGCGTATGTGCTAAACTTGCTGCCCTCACTTAATCTAAATACTGAATATATAGATCCTAGAGTTAAGAAGCACTCTTGGAAGCTTCTTTTCGTGTGGACTGAGCTACCCGACGCTGTCTTTCGCAGTCCTTCCCATCTGCAGTGAGCCACCTCTGCAGTCGTCAGGCGTTGAAAGGGGTTTCTGAGTGAAGGGCTTGGTGGGAAGCTGCTCATCCCAGGGAATGTGAAGAAGTGACACGTGAGCAATGGTGGCAGGTCAATACAAGCTTGAAGTGAGCTGGCATCTGTCAGGTGCGTCTGTGAGCAGCAGCCTCAGACACAGGCAGGAACTTGAATTTCCCTCTAGGCTGACCCAGTGAATTCCTGGAGCAGGCTGCAGCATATATTCTGTTGCTTCCCTTATCAGGCATTTTGTTTATAGGTCTCCTTAGGCACCAGTTCCACCAGCACAACTTAGATGTGGGGTTTCACGAATCTTTTTTTAACACTGTTGAAGTAACCAACAGTAGGCTACGTGTGCTGTGCCTCCCGTGGCCCCACTTGGGTGCTCCGGGGCTGGTTTCATCCTGTGCTTCTGGGGGAAGCTGTGGCCTGGAGCAGGGGGGAAGAGGTGATGACAAGAAAAAAACCCACAGTCTCTGTGGTAGCTGACAAAAGGACCTGATCAGTATTTAAAACCCTTGAGTAGTGGAGCCCTCTCGAATTATTTGAGGGTATCAAGGGTCCCTGGGTGCTTGTTGCTCCCCTGTGCCCCCAGGGTCCGAGGGGAAGCGCTTGGGTGATGTGGAAACCTTCTCTTGGTCCAGGAGATCAGCTTGGCCTTCCCCTGCTCAGGGGACCTCCATCTTTATCAGCTGCCAGCTGAAAACCTGCCGCTACCCCGAGCTGGAGCCTGCAGCGCTCTGGCTGGCACGAGGGAGAACAGAGCAAGGTTATTGAGGACGGGTTGTCGTGACATAGGTGCCTTTCTGACAAGGAACGGGGTGGCTGTAGCTCTGCCTCCCGCTGCCGGGGGCTGCGGTCTCAGACACCAGCCTCCTCAGGAGAGCCAACTGCCAGCCCACACGCTCCCCAGGGCGCCCGTGTCATCTGTTTTGGGGAAGATTGTTCACAGCGAACGCAGAAGAAACGCAGTTCCTCGCAGGTATTACTCAAATTCATTTAGCCACCCCAGCAATAAAATGCAGGGTGGGGGGAGCTTTGTTTAAATCACGTGCTTCACCTCTCCCCACTTCCCGAGAGGGCTAAATTCTTCCGAAGCAGCTTGTGAGCATCAGCACTTCATTTGAAGTTACAGGACTTCCTGGCAGTTGCCGCCTGCCTGACACGGGCGCTTGTTGGGCCGTGTTAGGGGACAGGTTCTGTTTCCTGTAGCGATACCAGATCAGGTTTTGTAATTAAGCTTTTCCAATTCAATAAACGATGAATTGCTTCCTTCTCCTTCCCGCTACGCAGGTGAGCCAATGTCTTGTGTTTAAGACCTCTTCCAAAACTTTTTCAAGTCTTCAGATAAACGATTTATAAAGTGGTCAGCTTAAAATAGATATTTCAAGCACTCATGAACTTGAAACTAAGTCTGTATTGCCCATCAAAGGTGGAATAAACGTGAGAAGCAGTGAACGGGTGCATCTCAGCGTTCATTCTTTCCCTGGCCACACGATGGCAGAAGATGCAAAAAAATAAATATTAAAAAGCCCGGGCCAAGTCCCCTCCCTCGGTGGCTTTAGGGCTGGCCGTGATGCTGGTTCCGTTTCTTCTCCTGTGCTCTGTCCCTTTCTCCGGGGAACCCCGGGAATCGCAGTTCAGGAGCCTCCCTGACCCTTTTTGAAGAGCTGGAGGGAGGGGGGTGAGGGGACACAGGGCGGGGATGCCGGGGGTGCGTGGGGCCGAAGGGAGCTGGGCTGAGCACAGCCTGGGGGCAAACAGGGCTCAGGTGCAGGCACCCAGAGGGGAAGGGAGCTGGGGAGGGGGGGGCAAGGTGGGCCCTGGGGCCCTTGGCTCCCACTTCTCTGTGTCCCAGGGCCCCCAGTTTGGCCCTTTTTGCTACTGGGAGCCATCTCTCCCTAACCTTGGGCACCCTGAAAAAGTTCCCTCACCCCCTGTGCACCTTTAAGCGCCCATCGTTTGGCCTTTGGTGTTCCCCAGAGTCCTTCAGTGAAACCAGACCCCCCCCCCCCCCATTTACCTGCTGCTCCCATCAGGACCCCCCTGTTTTCCCTCCAGCATGCCCCAGAGCTTTCTGTTCTCTTCCCAGTATGTTCTAGACCCCCCAGCTCTGGGGGTTGCTCTGTTTCAGCTTTTGGTGCATCTCCCTTTTACCTCCAGGTCCCCTCTGGGGCAGCCAGGAGCCTTTCGCTCCTCACCAGACCTGTGTAAAAAAGAAATAATCTGCTTTTAACCCAGCAGAGAACGGTGTGGTAGAAAGAGAGGCTAGCAGAAAAGGGAGGCCACCATACATCTCGTTCTTGGAACTGTTTGATCCGTGCTTCCCTCAAGTATAATCTACATGTAGCGACTGAAAGCCTTTTCTAGTATAACAAAAATATTTTAATTCTGCGCTTGCTGTACCGAAATTATTCTTAACTAGGCTGAAAAATACTTACATTTTTAGCTTTACTCCTCGTTTCTTTCATTTTGGGCTACTGGAAAACAGAAGCTATTTTAATAGGGCCCTTAGTGGACTTAACTAAAAATGTATTCCCTAAAATTAATTATTGATTAAAAACCTTAGTTCGAGCCTGAACCGTCAGAATCAGAGACACACGAGCAGTTTTCCTACAGAAATGAGGCAATATGAATTTACAGCAAAACAAGGCGGAAGCAAATTAATATGTGGCAAGTATCACAATTTTGAGGAAAGACAGATGGTACAAGCGCATTTCCTCATGATTAACCTTGGAAACATGCAGGGAGGGTGGGATGCTGTTTATAGAATGTGCAATATTAAGGATAACATGCAGACCACACAGCAAACCCCACAGTAGCAAACTGTCCTGGAAATGTTTCCTTGCACCTCCTGGCTCTTCTTAAATTTTTAAATAATCCGCAGCACCACGGCGTCTCTGGTTCGGGTGGAGTTCTGAGCAGGGACCTGCGAGTACTCTGTCTCCCGGGTTTCAAACAATCAGGATCTGCTAATTTTGCCCCCGTGTCTCTTTTCTCCTCACCTTTTTCTGATGGCAGGTCAAAGCCCTCCTTAGTCTTTAGCCAGAGAAATGACGTATTTGCTGACAGACACTGCTGCCCTGCTTGTTTCCATCTGGTTCCTGCTCATCAGCTGTGTAGCACTTCCAGCCTCAGGGATGTAACAGGGATAAATAGATCAGAGGAGGGAGGGCAGCGAAGTATCACCTGGCTCCCCCTTTAATAACTGCAATAGATTTAATGAAATAAAGGGAAAACCTTAACAAACCTGTAGGAGTCTGGTGATTGTCGCCCCAGACTGAGATTCTCCCAGTGATTTGTTATTCTGCTGTTATTTCACACCAGCCCGTCTGCCAGATACGTAGGATTGACTTGGGGTTAATTAATCCTCTGCGACACCTCTAAGGGTTTAGGGCTGGGCACAGCAGCAGCCGGGCTGAAGGAGCTTGGGGAGACAGGGCTGGCAGAGCATCCTCTGCCCTCCAGCCCAAAGAGGCAAAAAAGGGACCAAAAAAAATGGGGGTTTGTGTAAAAACAGCCACTAGGGCTCACTGTACAACCTGGTGCTCCAAAGCAGTTTGATTTCTCAGAGTAGTCAAACCTCTGAATCTTTTACAGGCAGGGAATTCTATTATTTTACTGAAAAAAAAAAACTGAAGGCAAAACCAGTTTTGTGGTTCAAAAACTCCTGTTTGGAACCCGCTGGGGCAGAGCAATCCTGTCCCCAGGGAAATACCAGCAGGGAATTCTAACTAAGAATGATGATTTTGATGAATTTGGGCTTGAAAACACTGGAAAGGTGGAAAGCAGAAGCTGTAAGAGGCAGCAAGAAGTGAAAGGCTTCTACGGAGCAGGAAAGAAGATGAAATCGAGAACAGAGATTCCCAGAAGTCAGAGTTACATTCTGAGAAGATATTGCATGTTTAAAGAAGCAGTCCCTGTCCAGCACCAGTTAAGGATACTTTTAAATATGCAGACCTGAGTCCTGGAGAAATGTAACCAGAATTTTCACTGTCAACATTTGCTGAGTCCGACTTCAAAAAAAAAGAGTTTAAAAAAAAGGCACTTGTGAAAGACACAGAGCACAAGTAATCCGGCCCTCAGCCCTTTCTCCTGCATCAAAACCCTTCTGTTAAAACATTGGTTGTGCAGAAAACTGATTTTGCAGGGGAAAGCATCTGTCAAGCAGCACGTTCGTGGCGGTACCTCCAGCAAGTGGATGTGAGGGGGTGGGGGGTGTCACACATCTCGCTCGTTAATCCCCGCTCTCCGTCTGCAAGCATTTATTCCATTTTGAGGTTTGCATTTTGCTGACGTGTGCATTCATATAACATACAGGAGTCCCAGGCAGTGATGCTTTACGCTCATGCAGGAAGGGGCCAAACCATTCCCCGCATCAGATTGGGGAAGGAGGAAACGAGTATGTTTTGAGTGACGAGATTATATACACCCAAACCCTTGGGAGTTTGTAATTTAGCTCATCTGGAGACCCAGCCCAAAGCCACTCCGGGCACAGGGCCAGGGCTCTGCAGCAGCAAGTGCGCTGCAAATCCCCTCAATCGAGGAGGCACATGAGCTTTTTCCTCCTGTTCTCAGCTTTAATGCTGATTTCCACACGGTTCCCATTTTAGTTCTACGGCCTTTCCACGCATTTGCAGCCACCCTTGTGTGTATCTTTCTGGATACTGCAAACAAACCCTTTTCCTTTAATGTGGCTCCAGGTGAAGAGGATTTGAAGGCAATTAGGTAATAAAAGGGCGGGCTTTCCCTTGTGAGTGTGTTGGTGGATTGTGGCCCATAAAAATCAGTCTCAAAGCTTTCCTCTGAAAAGAAATTGGGGGGGTTGTGGTGTTTTTCTGTGCACAAAACGAATGGTAGGCAAGTATTGCAGGAGGGGGGAGTGGTGTGTCTTTTTGTGGGCAACAATAATTAAATGGGCTCTCTGGTTTGTAGTAGGGTGGGGGATTTTCCACTGTTCCTAAAGGTTTTTTTGAGGAGGAAGCCAGGAGACTGCTGCATCCCCAAACTGGGTGACGCTCACTGGGAGAACGTACCCCTCCATCCCAAATACGCTGGTGGTTTCCAGGCTGAAAGCGAAGGAAAGGATCTCTCCTCTTTCCAGCTTGTCCTCTCTGAAAACGGGGCGTTTTTTGGCGGTGGTCAAACACGCTGCACAGCGTGTTGTCTGGCGGAGATGCTGGCTTGGGTTGGAGGTGCCCCAGCACACGCTCCGGGGATCGGGGCTGCAGTAAATCCTGTTTTAAGTGTTGCTGATCAGAAAGGGGGATGCGCTTGTCACGCAGGCTGGTGTGGCTGTCAGATGCTAATGAATACAAATAAATTTCTCTGTGAGTCTTAACTCCTCAGCTGAGAAGAGCTGAGAACACGCCGTGGCCTGGGGTGAGGTGGGTGATGGCTACCTGGCAGCTGCTGCTACCATTGCTGATTACAAGCTGATTTCTTCCTATTGAAATATAAAGTGATCGTGTTGGATGAGTAATTTTTTTCCTTCAGCTTGATTATTTCTCGGCTGTACTGAGATTAGAGTTCAATTTCTTTATGCTTGTAACTCTTTAAGGGTTTTGATTTGGATGCTTTAACCCTCTCAAAGAGGAAACTGTGGCAAGAGGAGTGTGGGCAGAGCCCCACGTACCCGCTGCCTGCCTCGCTCTGCAGACCTGGGAACTGACTGTAGAAAATAGGTTCATCTCTAAAATGCTGCTGCTGGAAAACCATCAACCTGAGTAAAGTAATGCTTTTTTTTCTCCTCTTTGCCCCTAAAGCACAAGTCTGGAGGCACGGGCTGGTGCGTGCACAGGGCTGGAGGCTCCTCCTGAGGAGGAAGTCTTACAGCAATCCCCAAAATAACCTGCAAAAGGCACATCTGTGGGGTTTCTTAAGGAGAGGCGTTACCTGGGAGGACGTGATGCCAAACGCCCGGTAATTCTGCCGGGGAAACGGGCTGTTTGGACTGAAATGCTGTCACTGTTTGCCCGGTGACTCCTGGCCGACGGCTGTGCCGTTCCCCACGGCAATGGGCCGGTGATGACACCTGTGGTCTGTAAAGCCTTTTCAGTGGGTGCTTGCTTCCCCACCACCATCAAAAAAACTTCCTAAGAGCAATTTCAAGACACTTCGGAGAGAGAAAACAACTCCCATGAATTTTACCTGTTACGTGCTTGCAGAGACAAACTGTATGTATTTAATATTTGTAGCTGTAAAAGGGCCAGAAAACAGAGAAAGCCTGAAAAACAGAAGTTGTTGTGCAGCCGGTGAAATACTACAGTTCTCCTTTATGGAGAAATTGTGTTCATCCACTCAAACTCTGATTTTTGGGGGGGCAAAAGGGGGAGATCCTGCGTCCTGCCTGGTTTTGGACTGCACCTCCCTGACCTTCGGGGAGTGGGGCGCCAGGTTGGTGTCTCGCCCCTGCGCTGCAGTTGCCTTTTGGAGACCTTCAGCTCCTGTGTGCAGGGAGAATCCAGTGGCCCCAGAGAGGCGTCAAGGGGTTGTTCTGCCCCCTGAGCTGCGAGTCTCCATCCCTCGGGAGGAAAATTCCCAGCGATGGCTCCCAGCTCCTTCCCGTGCCCTGCAGAGCTCCATCACCAGCAGCTCCCGTGGCCGTGGCCGTGGCCTGGCCGTGTCCCTGGCCCAGGGGACACCGACACATCCCCATGGTGCCGGTTGCTTGCCCCACCCTGCTCTTCCCCAATAAGCCCAGGAGGGTCCGAGCTGTGGGGCTGGGAGCCCGAAAGGTGCCTGAGCTGGGCCAAGAGGAGGGGGTGGTGTCCAGGGTGGCTCGGTTTGGAGATGACCCTCTGCGGCGCCTGTGGCTTGGGGCTTATTTCAGAGTGCTGAGGGTGTCAAAGGAGGCATCTCCAGTGGGCTGTGGTAGGAAGAAACCTCTCCTGCCACGCTTTTGTGAAAGCAAGGGCATTTGTCTTTAGATATTAGAGAAATGGGGGGGGGGGGGGGGGGGGGGGTCCCTGAGCTGGAGAAAAGATGTTCTGAATTTGACCGCGCTGAGCTCTTCCCTGAGAACGGGTCCCGGTTGCCGAGAGGGTGGGGGGCACGGTGTCACCTCCGGACAGCAAACCCAAACGGGGCATGTCACCCAGCCCCAGGCAGGTGGGGACAGCTGTGACGGGGGTGACAACGGCCATGCTCGTGGGGAGGAAGGAGGGGGTAGGAGCCAGGACGTGTCTTGCTCGCCCACAAAGCCCGGCAGCTCAGGGTGTCACGGAGGCTGCTGTAAATGGTCGTGTTTTGATCACTTTTGCACTCTTAATCCCTTGGTGCTTTGCAGATCCTTGTTACAGCTGTGCTGTAGACGGAGGAATTCTTAAATTCCTCAGTTTTCCCTTGCTGATTGCCCTTGTCCTGCCCCTGCCAGTGCTCTGCAGGGTCCCCATCTCAGTGCGAGGTGGAGGTTTCCCACGCTTCGGCAATGCTGAGCCCGTTTTGCAGCCCTGGTACTCTCGCCTCCCGCCCTGGTGTCGCTCACGGCTCTAGAATGGCCTTTTCTGACAGTGATGATGTGGCATAGGAGCCCCCAGACCAAAGCAAAGGTCCCACAGCCGCCGGGACATGCAGGTCGGACGCGTGGAAATGAGTGTTCAGGTATTTCTGCAGTGGGGGCTTAGTGGTGTTGGGCTACATCAACTCCTGAGAGCGCGTGCAACTCTGGAAGCAAAAGAAGCCTCTAAAGAAAACATCTATGCCATAACTTTATTTCTGAATTATTATTTATACATTTCTGATTTCTTTTCAGACAGAACTACAAAGCTATGAAGGGTAGGCAGGATGTTTCGATGTCAGCACCAGGAAAAGTACCAGGGAAGGGACCTTCTGCCTTGTGGGAGGCTGCTGAGACGGAGCTCGTCTGCTGGGGTTGCAAACTCCGTTTCTGAAAGGCTTTTTAGGCGAAGGTTGGGGTCTGTGGGCAGCTGCGGAAGGCTGAAGTCTGCCCCTAAATCCCAGCTCTTGTTCCCAAAGCTGACCCCCAGAGGTGCTGTCCCACGGCAAAGTGGAGCCACTCGAGCAGAGAAAGGCTTCTTGAAGTGTGTGAGGATTTCCGCAACCCCATGGGTATGTCCATCAGTCCAAAACAGGCTGGAGGTAAGGGACACAGAGTGCTGTGCTCAGGACTGGGCTGTCGCAAGGCTTTTGCCAAGCGAACCTGAATTTTGTGATGCATTTCACAAGGTTGGGGACCTTTGAAAAGTAAGGGGACGTTTCAGCTCGGGGAGGGAGGGAGGGACCCCCGGGGCAAAGCTTCCACCTGCCCTCACTTCATCCTTCAGAGCTCCTTGGGCTGGAGTTGTTGGTGAACTGAAGCCCTCATAGCCACAACATTTCATATTTCTTGTAGACCTCCTTAGCTGCAGAAAACTCTGAGATTTAAAGGCAAGTTCTGAAGTTTTCACAGGCGTCAGAAATGCTGCCCTAACCCCTCTCCTCTGGTGCTGAGAGAGGGGGAGTATCAGCCTGCGTACTTCCTGTAGTCATTAAATACTAAAAGGTTTTTTAATATAAAAACCACCAAAACCCCACAACCTTCAGCGCTACAGCTTATAAAAGAGGATCAGGACCGTGAATGCATTGTGATAACGAGAAATTGCTCTGACACAGACAGCTGCGTGACATCTAACCGACCGCTGGCGTAGGGCTGAGTTGGCTGCTGAGGATACATTTTTGAGTGTTTACATGTAAATCAAGAGGTTTAGCTCAAACCTTGATCTAACTGGGGGCGTACAAACAGCGGGTGCTTTGTGCCTGAGTCACTCCTGGGTTTATACTCTGTGAACATTCAAACTAATAAATCCCTGATTTAGGAGTGATCCTAGCTGGGTGCAAATCCGTGATGGTGGCAGTCACTTTGCTAGACCTTAGAGGACAAATCCACTTTAAAATCATGACAGCAAACAATTCTGAACCAGGTAATAATTTGCCTCCAAGATGTTATGTCACTGTAATGTAAGAAACCTCTCAGGTGACTGAAGAGGGATGCCAGTGAGCCTCGCAGAGTCTGCGAGGAGTGATGCCTTATTGGGATCAGATTGCCTGTGTCATGGTGTTGGAAATTCTGAATTTGGGTGTAGCAAAACTGGGAGCAATGGGGTGAAAAGCAATTAAAGGTGGGTTGTTTATTTGGGGGGGGGGAGTCAAGGGGAAAGAACAAGCACGGCAAAGCAGAGAGGAGGAGGGATAAAAGGGACAGTTCCCACTTATTTTTCTGTCTGAGTGTGCTCTCTAGTCTGCGCTTGCACCAGATCCTGCAGCAGACCTGCGTGTCGTGACGGCGGGTCTCATCCTGAGCTGGAGAGGCTGCGGAGGCTCTGGCGTGCGGCCAGACTTCACCAGGGCCGTCTCGAGTGGTTAAAAGTCGGTGGCCCAGAGCCGCTGGCTGCTGACCTCCCGCCTGGGACGCGTCTTCAGGCAGATTTTGAGGTCAGCACAGACGCTCAGCTTCTCACGCTCGCGCTTTTGCTGCGCCTCCGAGGCGAGCCAGGCGTGAGCTCGCTGCAGGGATGCTGCACCCTCTGCTCCGTCCTGACGCTCGTCGGTAAGTCTGGGATGGGGCGGGCAGAAAGCACCTTGAGGCTGTAGAAGCGGGGACTGGGATGATGCTGAGCTGGTAGGATAAGGGGAAGTAGCCGGTGGTGACCATGAAGTGCTCTCCTGAACCACAGAAGGCTAGAAATTGGGGCGGGGGGGAGCATCACAACATGTCATATAATCTCCACCGGGCATCTCCCAAAGCCACCCACTGAGAGGGCAGTGGTCCAGCTGGACCCAGCGCAGCTTTTCGCTGTGTTCCTCTTCGCTGCTTCTACGGCTGCACCACCACAGTGTTACTTACCCCTGGTAATCTCTGAGCAGCCCATGCAGGGTGATAACGGCAGGATGGCTGTACCGTCAGAAGATCCCTTCTGCTTTCTTGTCTCTTTCATTTTCTATGATGATATCGTACATGTGAAAAAACTTTCTCTGCTTCTAGATGTGGGTTAGAAATCACAAATTTACCCATGAGAAGGAATTCGCAGCAGCTGGCCCAACCCCTGGCTGTGCTCATTCCTGGAAGGGAAAAAGAATTGTTTCTCAGCCCATGCAGCTCCCTGCAAGCGCTGGGGAGGCAGAGCCCTTCGCTGCCAGAGCCCGGGTCCCCCGTAAAATCCTTCCCCTCCCCTAAAAACTAGGGATGCAGCAGCCCCACGTCGCCGAGAAGCGGCTCCTGTGCACGGAGCTGCCGCCGGCGGGGGTGGGCGAGGGGAGCTGCGCACGCCCGTGCCCAAAGCGGGGAAGGGGCCGCGGGTCCAGCCCCTGCCCTCGCTCCGCTGATCTGCCCCTTCCCCTCCTCGGCAGGGGGAAGCCTGGGCGTCCTGGTCGAAATCCATCAGGATTCCATCAACGGCACCGTGGGACAGTCCGCGCTCCTGCCCGTCTCCTACAGGTTCGGCGGTGCCCCTCGCTTCCCGCTGTCGTTTCACTGGGTGTTCAGCAACAGAGTGGACAAGCTTGTCAACTGCGTGGTGACGAACTGCTCCCTGGGTGCTGGGGGGGCTCCCAGCAATTGCTCGGCAAGGTGTTTCGTCCACGCCACGCACCAGGGCCGTGTGGAGCTCTTCCCCGAGAACGGGTCCCTGGTGCTGCGGGACCTGCGGCTCAGCGACAGCGGGGTTTACAGTGTCACCTTCAGCCTGTCACGCCGAGGCAGGCACATCACCCTGACCGTGCACGAGCAGCGTGTCACCCCGGAGCACCCAGGTGAGTGTGAGCGTGAGGTCAAACCCGGTGCCCAAACCTGATGAAGCCCACAAACGGGCTTTGGAGCGAGGAGAGGAGCCCAGGCCTACGGGCCAGCCTTGCCACCCTGTCCCTGTGCGTGTCCGCTAACCCCATCTCGGCACCATCGAGACCTTTCGGGGGGGGGGGGGGGGGTGGCGTGTCTGGGGCAACGGGGGGTTCATATTCCCCCGCCGCATCTGGTAAGAAATAATCTTTGACGCGCAGGGCTGCGGCCAGTGCAGTCACGAGGGGGGAACCGGGAGCTTTGTTTTGTGGGATGGCGCCAGGTCAGGGTCCCCTCTGCTGCTCCCCTGCCAGCAGGAGGTGACGGGCAGCGTTCGGGAGCAGCAGCGTTCCCAGACGTGCCGGGCCAGCGGCAGAGCTCGGCCACGCCAGCAAGAGGAGGGGGACGAGGACCCCGCCGAGGCGGGCAGGGGGACCAGTAGCTGCAGGACACCCCCAGGGACGGGCTGGGCGTCTGCTGTGCTTGGGAGGGGACGTGGGGCTGCAGCCTTGGCCACCAGCCCCGGGGAAAGCTCGCCGTCTCTCCTAGCCCAGGCGCTGGGCTCGCTGGAGGAGGGACGGCCGCTCGCATCCCTTGCTGCATCTTCGGAGGCTGCTGCCGCTTGGTCCTGCTGTTCCTGCAGCTGCTCTTCCACCTCCTCTGGCACCGGGTGAGCGCGGCCCTCCCCGCGCTCGGGTCCCGTGGGAAGGCGGGGGATGGAGCCGGTTCCCCCCCCACACCCCGTGGGGGCTGGGAGCAGCCGAGCTGCACCCCACGGGGGCGATTTCCCTGGGGTGATGCCGCTCCCGGGAGCGGAGCCAGCGCACGGCCGCGACCGGAGAGACACGGCGGACCCAGAGGACAAGGGATGCGCTCGGCCTCCGTGTCTTCCCTCGCGGCGCCGGGCTGAGAGTTTTGGGGTAAGTCCCGCTTCGTGCCCGCAGCCAAACGCCCGGGAGGCACCGAGCACACGGCGTCCCGCTGCCGGCCGGGCACCGGGAGCCGGCAGAGCGAGCCGCAGCCGCCGGGATGCCGCTTCCAGAAGCTTTTTTGGGGGGGCCCCTCGAGAGAAGCGGGCGACCGTGCGAGAGCCTGGTCCCCGAAGGGAGAGCTGCGGCGCGGGGCAGCACCCCGGCAGCGCTGCCTGCACGAGTTAAAGCACCAAACTGTTTCTGGAGGGTTTGCTGCCCTTCTGTCACCCGCTCTGGTGTTTCCCTGGGTGCTGGAGTAGCGCCGGGGACCAGCAAACGGCTGCCCTGCTGCAAAGTGAACGTGCTTCGCAGGAGCAGACGCGTTCAGGGTGTGCCAGCCGGTGAGGCAGAGGCCTGTGGTTTCCCCAGTATAAAGTGGTCTTCCAGTGGCCCCACACGACTGGCCCGTCTTTCCTCCTGGGGATGAGACGTGTGCCTCACCCCGTGCCCAGCCCCAGGGCTGCCCCGCTCGAAGCCCCAGGCGGCAGCAGCCACCCCTCTCTCCACCCAGTGCCCCCTCCCCAGCCAAATAAACCCCTTCCTCCAGCACCCTGCTCCCCACAGAGCCCGAGGCTGCGTCTGCAGCATCGCTTTGGGCTGTTCCAGCAGCCGAGCGAGACGGGAAATGCTAGTTCTCCAAATTTTCTGGCAAGCCCCAGGCAGTCAAGGCACCTCAGCAGTGGGGCTGCCAGGAACCAGAGGCTGTTTTTGCGGGGTATTCGCTGATTGTCCCCTGAGGGTGAAAGAGTGGGGACTTTTAATGCGCTGCGAACCGTGCTCGGGGTCCCACGCTGTGTGTCCTGGGGAGAGGTGACCCCCACGTGGGTCTTGCAGTGTTGCTGTGGATGTACATGCCCCCGGCAGCCGGGCTCCCCCCCAGCGCTCGCCCACCTCCTGCTGTCGTGGCCACGAAGCCGCCGGCGGCTCTGAGCAGCGACAACCACCAGTAAAGTTAAAATAGAGGGGGCAGCTGCGTGGGAGGGAGTCCAGACCCCCTGCCTTGCTCCCACCCTCGCTAAGGGGGAGCAGGAGCTGGGGAGAAGGGGAGCTGGCCCAGGGTCAGGGCTGTCCCCCTGCTCCCGCCCCATCTGGGCATCCTTGCAGGCCTGGGGGGGCTTCGGCCCCTCTCTGACCTGCCGCCCTGGGGGTTTGTGTCCCCCCCCCGATGACTCTTTCCTTGGGGTGGAGGCCGGGGAGCAGAGCCAGCTCCTCCCTGGCACCCTGTGGGCCAAGCTGGGCTGGTGTCCGGCCGGGACACCCCCCCCCCCCCCCCCCCCTTCCCCACGTCCCACCTCCAGCACTCGTAGCAGCCCACGAGCCGCGATTGCCAAGAGCACAGGAAGAAACCCCGGGCTCGCACACCCGCAGATAAACCCTGCGGCGCGCCGGGGGCTGAGGAAGAGTCACCGACTTCCTCCTGTGCCGAGGCGACAGCTCGGAGATGCTCGTGGGGCCCGGGGGGTCCCAGCCTGTGCCAGGGGCGAGGTGACCAGCCAGCCAGAGCTCCCGCTTCTGCTGCTGGGTGGGGGCTGGCCCCCAGCACCCCGAGATGTCCTTCGGCTGGCACCGCTGGAGCCTCGGCTCCCTCCTGCTGCTCCTTGGTGAGTCAGGGCTGGGCTGGGGGTGCCCGGGGCCGGGGTGCGCTGCCAGGAGCAGCCCGGAGGGAGGGGGGGGTGCCGCTCAGAGGGACGCTGGTGTGGCTTTTGGGGGGGGTGGCAGTGGCAGCTTGCCCGTGGGCCCCCAGGATCTTCGTCCCATCCGCATCGGGGACCTGCGCAGGGTGACAGTGGCAGGGGCTGCTCCAGCCACCGGTGGATGAAGAGCAGGAGGGGGCTGAGCCTCCACCTCCCCCCTTTCCTCTCCGGGCACAGGGGAGCGGCACCGTGTCCTGAAGTGCCAAGGGACAACGAGCGCTGAGGGCGCTGGGGTTTGGAGACATCCCCAGGGCTGCTGCCTCGGCTCACGGGCAGGCTCAGCCCATGCAGCGCCCTGCAAGCAGAGCCCTTCGCTGCCAGAGCCTGGATCCCCCATAAAATCCTTCCCCTCCCCCAAAAACTAGGGATGCAGCAGCCCCACGTCGCCGAGAAGCAGCTCCTGTGCGTGGAGCTGCCGCCGGCGGGGGTGGGCGAGGGGAGCTGCGCACACCCGTGCCCGAAGCGGGGAAGGGGCTGTGGGTCCAGCCCCTGCCCTCTCTCCGCTGATCTGCCCCTTCCCCTCCTCGGCAGGGGGAAGCCTGGGCGTCCTGGTCGAAATCCATCAGGATTCCATCAACGGCACCGTGGGACAGTCCGCGCTCCTGCCCGTCTCCTACAGGTTTGACGGTGCCCCTCGCTTCCCGCTGTCGTTTCACTGGGTGTTCAGCAACAGAGTGGACAAGCTTGTCAACTGCGTGGTGACGAACTGCTCCCTGGGTGCTGGGGGGGCTCCCAGCAATTGCTCGGCAAGGTGTTTCGTCCACGCCACGCACAAGGGCCGTGTGGAGCTCTTCCCCGAGAACGGGTCCCTGGTGCTGCGGGACCTGCGGCTCAGCGACAGCGGGGTTTACAGTGTCACCTTCAGCCTGTCACGCCACGGCAGGCACGTCACCCTGACCGTGCACGAGCAGCGTGTCACCCCGGAGCACCCAGGTGAGTGTGAGCGTGGGGAGCACAGACCACCCCCCCCCGCTCTGCCCCGGCCGCCCGGGAGTGGGTGCTGGCAGAGTGTTTGAGAGGATTTCGGTGCTGTAGGTGTTCTTATGACAAGAAACCCATCCTGTCCCTCGGTGCCAGCTTAATCACAGCGTAAGGGATTCCCGTGCAGCTGGTTGTCTCTACCTGAGAAATGCGCTTCTGCCAGGCTTGCGTTTATCCGACAGGAATGGATACTGATGAGAGAGATGGGCTGAGAAACCTAAGCGCTGCGTTTGGGTCCCGTACTGGAATAAATCCAGTATTCACCGGGGAGAGTAGAGCACTTGGGGATAAATCTGTGGCCATGTGGGCTAAGAAAAATAGGCCAAATAATTGCTATTCATGCCTGTGCAGGTTGTGTGTCGGGGGCGGTTGGGTACACTGGTGGCCACCGTCCTTTGGCAAAACGGGAGCCGCCTTTACCCTCGCTGAGTCTGGCTGTTTATTCACGCTGCCACGCAGCCCTGACCATATTCCTCACCCCCATCTCTCTTTTTGTGTTTGTGTCTTGCTGTTCCCTGCCCTGGTTTATCCCTCTCCGCAATGAGCACGAGGTTCTGAAGATCTAACTTTGCGTTCAACAAATTCCCGGTTCCCTCCCCGGGTTTCGCCTCCTCTGCTGGATCTCTGCCACCTCTCAAGGCACCAAGCAGAGCGCCCGTCCTCTCTCCCAATGACCCTGCCGCGGCTCCGCTGCCACCCCACGTACACAGCACGTGAAATAATCTCCATGGCGGTATCTGCCGGGGTTCAGCACAAATCGCTGTAGGAGTCGGTGCCTTCTGTGATGGGAGCCACTCCCGCATCCCCTCCAGCTGTGCTATGAGACATGCACATGACTCGTGCCCTCTCCGGGATATAAATATCCCAGGAAATATTTTGGGGGGCTGATATTTAAACTCCATTCCAAGGGCCCGGCGTGCCTCTCTCGGCTGTTTTCCTGGCAGCGGGGACAGGGAACCCTCCTGGGCGGCCCCTGCGCTTCCCCGCGGCTTTGGGGAGAAGCTGCCCCTCGCAAACCCCCCGGGGGCCGGGATTGAGCCTGAGCCCTGCCCGGCTCCTCTCAGAGCACCCGCAGCTCCCGGGCCTGGCACCCCCCAGGGCTGTGGTGTCAGGGTCCCAGCCCCACACCCCCCACACCACGCCCCCCCTTGGCACCCTGCCTGCATATACCCATCCTTAATACTCGAGCTGCGGAGGTGGCTGGGCTTTCTGCACCGCAGAATTTCCTTTGAGCTGCGGGCGCTCCCCAGCTCCTCGCGCTGCGCTCTGAGCCCGAGCAGGGTGCTGGGGTCAGCGGGAACGCTGGACAAAATGCGGCGAAGCCGCTGCGATTACTTGTTTAGAAAATGCTCGCACCACCTCTTTCCTTCCAAACAGCAGACACGGGGAAGCACCACACCAATTATCCTGTAATTGGAATTTGTTCTTCAACCTCCCTCCTCCTGCTGATTCTGTCCTGCTGCTGCATAAAGCACCAAGGTGAGTGGCTCTGCTCCTGATTTTTATCCCTCCAGGTCGCATCCTCCTGCTTCCCCAGGCACATTCTTGGGTGTGAAAGGTAGTGGAAGGCTCAGAAGCCGCCTGGGTTCTGCTCTTCGCACCAAACTGATTCCATCTCTAAGCTCACCTCTGCGATGTGCCGCCTCCTTCCAGCCGTGAAGAGCTGCCGAGCACGTTGCAAGTTCATAAAGTAGCTCGAGGAAGCGGAAGCACAGCACGAGGCTGTTGCAGCAGTTTTTTGGAGCACTCATACCTTTTGGGGCCAGGAGCAGAATCAAGACACTGCGGCATATCTAGTCTGTAAAAGGGCTGCAATTTCATGGACTCTGAAATGCATCCTCTACGTGTGGCCATGACAATTCTGTTGGAGTTACTTTAAAACTCCAGCTGGGGAGAATAACTTGGGGTGTTTCCTCTTAAAATTAAGCCAACGTGGTGCACACCTCCACAGTTTCCACCAGCTGTGTCTTCAAAACTTTTGTCCCTGAGGGTGACTCTGTCAGGAAACAAATTCTCTTCTTTCCAAGGGGGAGATTTCACTTGCACATAGAGAAAGTAGTTTCCAAAATCTCCATCTTAAAGGCAAAACCCACATCACCTCCCTGGTGAAAGCCAATAGAGTAATGCTGGTTCTCCAGCACTGGGAGAGAGGAAGATGCAGACCATCGGTGTATCTGCCAGATAATAAAACTCCTTTTATTTATTTTTTTTTCCCCTGGGTGCAGCTCAACAGTGGAAGAGGAGGATCGTCAAACAACAGCAGGTACGGCGGAAAATCTGAAAGCTCTTGGGCACGGGCAGCTGGGTACCTGCTAACTGCTGGCTTGAATAAGATGTACTGAGCTGCAAGAATCGGGCGCTGGGTATAAAATTAGAAAGTTAATTCATTCCTGTAAGGGAAGGCTGCTTTCCCCTCCGCCTCCCTCCCCGGCAGCCCCCAAACCAACACGAACCTTACCTTCATGGCTCTGAAGCCCTGGGACAATTGTGGCCAGCAGCAGCAAGGAAAATGCAGAAAGGTTAAATTCAGAGGAATGTGCAGATAATCCTCCCTCCCTGCTTCCTAGTCTCCTGAATTTATGTTAAGGCACTTCTTCAGGGATCGGTGTGGAGGATCTGTGGACTTGTCTCACACAGTTTTACCTGTGAAAAATGAATAAAGTGGAGAGAAAGAGGCAAAGAAGCAGGAGATGTGAGAGCGAGATGGCTCAAGAAATTTCTGTCACCTTCCCCAGCACTGTGTGGTGGGCGCAAGTGCCCCCGAAGTGCAAGAGCACCCCAGGGAGCCTGTCTGGCAGATGTGACCGGCCCACACTTGTTTCTACACAAAGAGGGGGTTGTGATGATTTTTTTTCCAGTGAAAATAGCCAAGGTCAAGGGTAGGGTCCCCGGTCTGCGCTCTCTGGTCTGGAAACAGCGACAAAACTTCAGCAAAGGTTTTCCTCCCCATTTCCAGTGCCCATCGAGCTCTCCAGGCTGTGTCTGGTTTGTCTGAGGGGTCCTTGGGCAAAGCAGACGTCACCCTCCGGGGGACCTGAGGGGCTGAGCCAGTTTTGCATCCATGGGTTGGGGGGAGTTGGGCACCAGTGTCCCCCCACCGCTCTCGCCGGTAAAGCCGTCTGGGCTTTACTGGAGAGGGTTCTTCATCTTTGGCATTTGTACTTCTCCAGGTCTCAAGCGTGCAGGAATCCCAGATGGAAAGCACCATGGGGAGGGACATGGCAACCATTTATGCCCAAATTGGAGACAACTTTGAACAGTCGCTGCCCTGACCGATGCCAGAGGTCGTGCGCACATCCAAAACTTCTCCGGCACCACCGGGACTGGGACCCTGGACCCTGCCACCTCCCAGCTTGACTGTGGGAGCTGCCCTGGGCGGGAGCTTTGCAGGAGGTAGTCGTGCCTCAAAGCACAGAGGATGCTTTTGTCCCTGACGCTGTCTCCGCTGACGCTGCACCCTCAGAGCTCCCCCGCCAGCAGCTCCGCACGCTGAGCCTAGGCTGGAAAGGATTTGGAGCAAGAGAGTACAGAAACGCATTAGTTTGCCTCAGACTGCAGCCTCTCTGGAAGTCGAGGGATGAGCTGGTTTTAGTTTCTCCTCAAGACTTCCTGAGAGTATGAAGACATCCAGAGTAAGAGAAAGATGCCTAAGGCAAAGGCAAATCAACAGTTCATCCATGGGGAGCTTGTTTCCATAGACTCACCTTAATTTGTGGGGTAATGGAGAGCATTAAAAGGATTTTAATCATGTTTCCTAGATTCACTACCAATAGTCTTGCATATTAAAAGAATATATAAAGATCCTTTGGCCTGAAAAGTTGTTCTTATTTTTGTATGTATGCCAAGTAATTGTTGAGCAGACTTCCTACAATGAAATCTGCTTGACCTTAGGATCCCAGAGCAACAGGTTCCTCTGCTGTTTTGAAATGTCCCTTTTGAAGCACAAAGAGATGGGGATTTCTGTACAATTGATTTCCTGGCACGTAATGCCATTTCCTCAAAACTGTGTGCATGGGTGGAAGAAAGCTGAGCTGTGTAATCCTAGTTCAAAATTAAAAGGCCCTGTCCCGGCCCGTCCCCCCAGCAGCACCAGCACTTTCAGACACCTTTAAAAAGCAGCGAGGGCATAAATTGATTTTGCTTCCCTCTGCCTTTCACAGAAAGCCAGGTGGTGTGTGCCAAAACATGGGGCCCCGTCCCTGATAATAAATGGATGCTGTGAAAAGATGAGAGCCCTTGGCACCTCCCAAGCGCAGGCGCTGGCGGCACGGGCAGCGCTGCCAGGCTGTGGGGCAGGACTCCCTTGGGCAGAGCATGGAAACTGCTGCTGCTTCTCACCCTTTTCAGGTGCTTCTCTGTCGGCTGGGCTGATGCCCAAGAGGGACGATGCTGAAGGCGATGTCCAAAGCGCCAAGCGCAAGGAACCTGCTCCCACTGGTGCTGCCCCCTTCCCTCCAGGCGAGAAGGAAAGAGCACCCAGCACCTGCCAACGCTCCTGCCGGCTCTTAGCGAGGGAAGAAACCTTCTTCAGGACAGACACACAGACGGCTTTTGCTTTCTTCTCACCTGCATCTCCAGCTGAGCGTCCTCCAGCCCCTCTCCTGGAGCTGCCTCCTGGCCTGGCCGCTCTGCTCTCGGTGCTCGTGAGGGCAGAGCTTCGCTCCAGCAAACAGAAGCGTTTTTGTGATTCAGTGAAGCCACAGAAGTTGAACACTTGCACCAGGTGAAGACGGATTTACTGCTGCGGTTAATGTGAGGCCTTAAGCAGCGGGAGAGATGAAGTACTAAAAAAGCGAAGCAGCAGCAGAGAAGCACACAGGAAATATGGTTTTCACTCTTCAGGCTAAAGCACACATGGTCACTGCCTTACCAACAGTCCTCTCGGCAGAACTGGGGGGTCTGTCTCTGCCCCACTGATGAAGGACTTTGGAAAAACCATCCCTGGGGAGCATGGAAGGGCAAGGGAGGACTGCGCAGGACACAGAGCCGGTCCTCAACCCCTGCCAGAGCCACAGAGCCCATCGGAAGGGTCGGCAGAATAACCTCTTGGTCTCCCCCCCTCCCCGTGCCTGCTAAACCACAAAATAATCTCAGGATTGGAGCAAAATGGAGGCCTAGAACTGAATTCGTGTATCCCCCCCCTCATCACCCAGAAACACGACCGCTCCGTGAGCAGCCTCTGCCCCGGGGGGAGCCCAGCCCACGGACCGTGCTGCACCCCGGGCCGAGCTGCTGCTTCCCAGAAGATAATACCAAGAGGCAGGAGCAAGCCCTGACCCTCCGCAGCCCCGTGAGCCCGCAGCAAAGCTGTTTAGCTGTTGCAGGGCCCGCGCAGACCCTCCCGTGTCCCCTCCACCCTCCCCTGTCCTCTGCTTTGCGTGGGGTCCCTCCGCTTGCCTCGTAGCGTTTGGTGCCGAGCGTCTGCGGAGGGAGAGGAAAACCCATCGCCCTGAGGCTGCACACGCCGCGAGCTGCTATCTCTGTTGGAGTGTTTTCTTGAGCTACAGAAATAAGGTAAGATTTGACTGTCTTCCCTAACGGTCTGAGTTCAGCTAAGGGAAACTTGTGTGCTGCTGGAAGTATAAAAATGGGATTTGCGTTAAACAGCCAGATAGGTGATAGCACCTTCCCTCTTGAACCAAAATTATACTTCAGTGATCAGCAGAAAGACAGATCTCTCCCTAATTATACCCGAGATGGGCTGAAAACAGCAGAAAGTGAAGTTCTGCAAGAGCTTCCAGAGTTTTCGTTTATCCTTCTGCTTTCTGGTTAGGAGGTAGGGAGGAAGAGGAACTGAGTATGAGTGTGACACAGGCCGATTGCTGCGGCTCCGTGCAAAAATATCAGGGCGTGTGATGGGCCAGATAGATAAAAGAGCACAGGCTGGGAGATTATCCCGCTGCTGTGCCAAACTGGCAGGTCAATTTAATATGGATTTTATTTTGGACTTGGAAAACAGAGCTATTGAGCAAAATCCGCTGGGCTGGCTGTTGTGGTTGGCTGACGCCCACGCCCCCACACCCCCCCCCCAGCCTCGTGGGAGCCACCTCTGCGACCCACCCTGTCCCCAGGGCTGAAGCCTGCTGCCTCTCCAGGTTTATTCCCCATCAGTAACTAGCACTGGCTTTTTAAAGACGCCCCTGTGGCCTGGGGTCATGGGTGTAGAGGGCACTGAAGGAGCCGTGGGATGGGGCTGGCCCCAGGCTGACGGGCTGAGCTGGGGGTGGCGAGGAGGGGAAGGGAGCACAGAGGTCTCACTGAGCTCATCTAGAGCCAACGGGAGATTGCGGCAGCTTCCTGGACATTTCACTTCAGTCTAACAGTTTTCACTTTAGCTGTAACGTGCCCACAGGAAGACTAAGCCTGGCTTCTATTCTGGAAACTCGCTTGCTTTTTTCCCCTCTTGTTTCGAGCTAAAATTCAACGTCTGCCGTGCTCAGCCAGTCTCTGGCATGCACAGGGGGAAGGCTGTCTCTCGGCTGGGCAGGATTTGGGGTGAAGGGTTTAACAGGAACTTCAGTGCCTGATGCTGGAAGTGCGGTGCTGCTTGCACTCGTATTTTTTTTTTTTTTTTCTCAGTTGTGTAATGTGTGTGTCTCTGGGGAGACCTTCAAGCGGCCTCCCAGCGCTTAAAGGGGGGACAGGGAAGCTGGGGAGGGGCTCTGGATCAGGGGATGTGGGGACAGAATGAAGGGTAATGGTTTTAAACTGAAAGAGGAAGGATTTAGGTTAGATATAAGGAAGACATTCTTTATTGTGCGGGGGGTGAGGTGCTGGCCCAGGGTGCCCAGAGCAGCTGTGGCTGCCCCCTCCCTGGAAGGGTTCAAGGTCAGGTTGGACGGGGCTGGGAGCCCCCTGGGCTGGGGGAAGGGGGCCCTGCCCGGGGCAGGGGGTGCCACTGGGGGGGCTTTAGGGTCCCTTCCCACCCAAACCATCCTGTGATTCTATGATTTGCCAAAAGGGTCTACCAGGAAAAAGAGGCTTTTCTCCTGTCTGCCTGCTCTGGAGCTCCCAGGCCTTGGGGTATTGGCTTTGAGCTGGGTGGCCGTACACCCCAGCACCTCTGCAGAGGCGCGTGTCTGCTGGTGGCTGGCAGGAAGCTGCATTAGCACTAATTATCTGCAGTTCTGTGCTGATGAGGCTGGCCTAAACCCGCCCCGGGTGCTGGCTGGTACGCTAACAGGATGCATTGGTGGCATCCAGCTGCTGAAAGTCCGCAGGTCTTTGGTAGGGGGGGGGAAGGTGAAAGCAGGTCCCGCGCTTGCCTTGTGCAGCTGGGGGGCTGCAAAGCCCTCGCAGCAAGCCCACAGCTCCTCCTGCAGCCCCAGCGCCCGTGGGGTCCTCACCTCCGCGGGAGGGAGAGCACGCCGCGTGCAAAACGGAGAGGAAACGGCAGAAGTGAACGGGGGGCAAAGGGGTCGGAAACTGTGAGGAGAGACCAGATTGGCCACGTTTGCCCTGTGACGCTCTTGGTGCTTCTCTGTTTCTACCTTCTCTCCACCTTTTTGCTCACCCTGAGCTCCCACCACAGAAGGTGTTTGGTCTTCGCCCACGCTGTGCCTCCCGTCCCTGTCTCTAACCCACTCTGCCGTCTCACCGGCTGCCTCCGCCTTTTCATTTCCTTCCCTCATCAGCTTCTTTGCAGGGTTTTGCCCACCAGGCCCTTCTCTGCATGTTCTTCGAAGCTCACAAAGGTCAGCGTGGTTTTTCTTGTGGCTGTAAATGGCCGGGTGCTTGCAGACCTCAGGAGCTCGCTGGCTGCACCTCAGAGCACGCTTCCTACCACTGGATACGCCTAGCTTTGTACTTTAAAGAACTCAGACGGTCCCCTCAACAGCCTTGCTGCTCGTTGTTCTTTATTCTTCCATCTTTCGATCCATCCCAGGTCCATGTGGCTGAATATCATTCTTCGAGACTGCTGCTGACTGGGTGGGGGACCCGGTGACAAAGGACGTGACTGAGGCACCCAGTGCCCTCTTCTCCTTGGTTTTTACCAGTCAGACCAGCCTTCAGCAACCCAACAGCCTGGAGAAAGTCCACAGCAGGGAGGACTCCCTCGGTGGGAGAGGATCGGGTTAGGCAGCACTTAAGCAAGCTGGACATGCCAGTGGGCCCTGAGAGGATGCGCCCACAAGTCCTGAGGGAGCTGGCTGACAGCATTGCGAGACCGCTCTTGGTAACCTTGGAAAGGTGGTGGCAACCAGGAGAGGTTTCTGAAGACTGGAGGAGAGCTCCTGTCCTCGGAAAAAGGGTCAGAAGGAAGACCCGGGGAACTAAGGGGCAGTCCCTGGGCAGGTGATGGAGCAGCTAATCCTGGGAACCATTTCCCAGCATATGAAGGACAAGAAGGGGATCAGGAGGAGTCAGCGTGGATTTATGAATGAGAAAACCTGCTCAGCCAACCTGATCACCTCATGGTGACTGGCTTGGTGGGCAAGGGGAGGGCTGTGAGTGTTGTCTACCTTGACTTTAGGAAGGTTTTTGACCCCATCTCCCACAATATCCTCATAGAGAAGCTGACAAAGCATGAGTTAGATAAGTGGATTTATCAGTCGCATGGGTTGAAAACTGGCTGAGCAACCAGACCCAGACACAGTCCTGGGCAACCTGCTCTAGGTGACCCCGTGTGAGCTAAGAAGCATCACAGTTGTCCCTTGTAGAGGGGTTGCTCGGGGCCTACGGGGTGCACCTCGTGGCTACCTGAGCTGATTTAAAGTGATGAACAGAGCACGGTCAAGATTACAGTTGTCGGCCGAGGCTTCAGGCTGCACCTCCCTGCACGTGCGCGGGCTGGAGGAGCTCGCTGTGCCCTGGTTTCCCCGAGCTGGCTCTCCCGACACCGCCTCCTTCACTGGGACCGATCAGGTGAATTTTTACGTTTTTATCCTTTTTACTAATTGCTGCTTTTTTTTTTTTTTTTTTTTTTTTCCTTCTCATTTAATCCCAGACGGAGAATTTCAGGAAACCCCCCCCTCGCTCTGCAAAACTCTGCGCAGACACCTCCTCTGAGCACCCGCACGAATACCGGTGACTACCAGGAGCACGCTGCTCACCAGCAAAGCCCTCTCCTCGCCCGGGCTGCCCCAGCGTGTTGCTCTCCAGATCAGGAGTTTTGAGGGCAGGACTCGAGCCTTTCCCCGTTGCCCTTGACTTTGGGGGGTGGCAGTTTGTCTCCTCCAGCCCAGAGGCCGCAGAAGGGGATGAGCAGCCATCAGCTGCACAGGGCCCGTGCTTGCTGCATCCTGGGCTCAGTCCTGCTGGGGGGGGGGGGGGGTTCTGACCACTGTCTGCAACAGGGATGCTAAGGTTGACCAGAAAAAGCCATTTATTTCTTCATCCACACGCTTCTGATTTCTAGCAGAGACTGACGATCGCCCCTTCGTGCCTTTGGGGTTGCAGCAGCGTGGGAGTGGGGAGAAGGACCTGGGGTTGTGCTTTAGGACAGTCTGTGGCATGAGTTTCATGTCTGCTGATGGTTGCCTGCTCTTCATACCTCTCTCCAACCACAATAAGCTGCACTGGCCTGAAGCAGCAGCTGTGCAAACGCTTCTCTGCAGCCAATATTTGCAGGTTTGTGCTGCTGTATTTGCTGTTTGGTGTCTCCCAGCCCCCCGAAAGGTGCAGGGTGTAACTCAAGTGATGGAAAAGCTTTTAAAATATTTGTGAAAGGAGTTGAGTGCTAGCAGAAACCTGCCTCAGTTTTTTAATTTAGTTTATCTAAGATTAAGCGGAAAATATATTTTTAAAGTTTCCTTCCAGCAACCTGGAAGAATCAATAGGGCCAGAGTGGCCTGACTGATAAAAATTACTCTTTGGAGCAGTTAAAAGAAGAGGTGGATATGGATGATGGGGACGTGGTGGAAGCGGTGGGTGGGCAACTCATCCTTCCTGCAAGCAAATGAAATACCTGCCTGGAGGATGAAAGCTTTATCCTTCGGTGTCTTTCTGAAGACACTTTCGGGTGAACGGTCACCCCAGACGTTGCTGGTGCACGTTGATGCAGCCGTTTCAGCTGCCCCGGGCTACCCAAGAAACGTCCCTGGGGAAAGGACAGAGCAGTCGTTCCTTTTCACAAATTGCATTTTCCTGCTCGTGTCAGGCGCCCGTGCCTTCGCACTGCGCTTTCGGTCGCTTTTAGCTTCTCAGACATCCCAAGCTCATGTCAACTGCGTGCAGAATGCGGCAGCCCTTCGCTGCGATGACGAAACGCCACTGGCTGGGTGATGTGACCCCACAAATACCCAGCCCTGAACTGAGGAACCAAGTGGATGGGAACAGAGAACCCGTAGTCTGCTGGGCATGGGGAGAAAGAGAAGTTCGATTAAAAATGAAAATGCACATTTGGCCACAAAACAGCGTGGAAGGCAGAATCGGAGTGGGAGCAGCCTCCCCTTTAATAAAAAATAAATTAAACGAAAAGAGTTCTGCTTGTACTGAGCTAGTTGTAAGCTCCACTTGTCTTAAAGGTCGTTGTCCTTCCTGTCCAAAAGTATCTGTCCTGCTGGGGCTGTAGGTAAATGCTGCAGTCGCTGCCTAGGCTCTGGCCTAAGGCTGAGCAGCCTGGCCAGGGTGCAGGAAACTCCTGAGACCAGCAGACATGACAGATCAGAGCGTGAGGAGCATCGAAACGCAAAGCTGGTGTGCGAGGTGCTGCTGGGGGAGGAGAGAAACCACGGAACTCCCCAGGTAAGTGTGGGGAGCACTGGGGACCTCTTGGGGTGAAGACTTGCAAAGCCAGTATTGCCTAGGTATGACCTCATCGGCAATAGCAGCTAAAGCTGAGCTTGTCTAGGTAGTGGTGTCAGCAATGCTTGATTTGGGGATGGATGTAGCAAAATGAGGGCCCACGGGGGAAAAGGAATTACAGCATCCATCTCACTCTGGTTTTGGTGGTCCGTGGGAGTCAGACGGGGACCAGCCGTGCTTGGCAGGGCAGAAAAGCTTCCCCCAGCGCTCTGGGGCAGAGCTCAGACCTTCCCAAGTCTCTCGTCCCTCTGCTCTTCGGTTTAGAGCGTGAAACTCGGTCCCTGGGTGCTCCTGTGATCCCAGCAGTGTCTCTCCCTTAAACTGAAAAGGCCTTTGCAGGAAGCTCGTGGGGCATGGATGATCCCAGCCCACATCTGCCTTGGTGGAGGAAAAAGCTTCTCGCGGTGGGACAAGTGTTTCAGAGCCTGCCTGAGCCCCTGGCCGCCGCTAAAACCAGCCTGGAGGAGGAGTTCAACCTCTGCCGTGCCCAGGGAGCTGGGCTCCTCTCCCAGGGACAGGGTAGAAGGTGACTAAGCCAGAAGAAAGGGATGGGGATGGATCTTCTGGCCTCAGGGCATGGAAATGATCTGGGACATCCCGTGTAATTTCTGTCGCTGCGAGAACTGAAATCAGAAACCCCTCCTAGAAGCGGAGTCAGGCGGGTTAATCTCCCCGGCCTGGCAACCGAGCTCAGCGTTTCTTGCAACGGGGTCGCTTCTGGGGTGCCCCTCCGGGATCCCCCCCCCTCCACCCTGCCCCGGCAGAAAGGGCCGTCCGAGCTCCCAGCACCGGGAGCTGGTGGTCCCGGCCACGGCACAGGCAGCGACGCGGCGGCTCTGCCTCCCCGTGCTGCAACCGGGGAGCGGCCGGCATCCGAAATCGGGGAGCAGCCGCCCCCCGAAATCGGGGAGCAGCCGCCCCGGGAGGGTCCCCGGCAGCAGGGCAGGAGAGGAGGCGGCGAGGAAGGAGAGGAGGAATCAGCAGGAAAGCAGCGATGCTGGAGCCGGTCCAGGCTGGGAGTGCCCGCGGCGCTGCCCTTGTGCGCGTCAGAAATCCGTAAGGCTGCGAGAACACCCCACACGGTACAGCCTCACCTGTTATTCTCGTTGCAGCGCGGACTGATTTTGAAAGCATGGCAATTTCTGAGCCGTTTTTCCTTGGCAGATGCTGCCGGGCCGTCCCGCGGAGCTGCTGGGGACCAGCTGGGTGCTCCTTGCAGGTAAATAAATTGTCCCCAGCGTGGGCGAAGCGTCGGTGCCGGGGCAGATCCTCGCCCGCTGCAAACCCACGGAGAACCCGGGGCTTCAGCGGAGCTTTGCAGGTGTGCACGGGGATCTCTGGTCCATATAGGTTGGACTTTTCAGATGGGGCAAAATGCTTAACCTGAAAGGGAAGTGTGTCTCTGCTCCGCTCTCCAAAGGCAGAGCGGGTAGAAGCAGCTCAAGAGCCAGGCACGGTGCCAAGGCTTTATAAAAGCCTGCTGCAGATAGATTTATACTGGGGCTGATATATGTAATAACCCAAAATTGGTTGCAGTTACGCTCGTGTGAGCAATCTCACTGTCATCCTTATATACTCACCAGCTGCCCTGAAACATAAATGTACAAAGATCTTCAGGGCAAGCATCTTAAAATAGAAAAGAAAACCCTTACAGTATACCCAGGCTTCCAGATGCCGTGGTGTTAGTGAGCTCTGTTTGGGTGTCTGTAGAATGAGCTTTGGATGTTGTAAAAAGATGCCTGGGATGAAATATTTTCTCTTACCTCCCGCTAGTGGTGCCGCATGTTCTGTATAAATAGTGTTCTCTTAGAGCAAGGGGGGTTTCAGTCATAAGATTGTTTCTCCGCCCAGCACATCTAATAGTTTGAGGGGCACAGAGGCGCGCGAGTACCAACCAATGGCTGTTTCTCAAGGCTGTGAGAGTGGGAAATGAAAATCAGTGGATGAGCTTAATTTAGGCGGGTTGTTCCCACCTGTGGGGCATCCCGGGGGCCGCCCGTGCCGGGAAGGTGTTTTCCTGACGTCTCCTGTGTCGGGGAGCGGCTGCGGTTGCTCGGTGGCGGGTGTCTGGGGGCAGGCTGGCATCGGTGCCGCCGGCCCCCGCCTCGGCGAGCCTCAGCCCTGACGGTCCCGTGCAAGGGCTGGACTGAGAGCTTTGGGGAGGAAAAGAGGACTTTTAGCAGAAATCCTGGTGCCTCCTTCAGGGCAGCCTCTCAGGAGTTCTAGGGTTGCCACTGGCAATGAATTGGGCCTCTGCCTGGGTAGATAAATACCTTTTGTTTCATTTCCTCGGCCAAGGGCTGGTTCCTTGCTTTAAACCTGTTAACCTCACCTTTATATTTCTTTTTTTTTTTTTTTTAATAATCCATTTTGGAAGATAGGACTGCAGTAGTGATTTCTGCCTGGCTTTGCTAGAAAGCTCTTTTGTTGTTTTTGTGTTTCCTTTTTTTTTTTTTTTTTTTTTTCTTGGGGCTGGGAGCTGTGACCTCCTCGCAGCAGCTCCTCTCAAAGCCCTCCAGCACGTCAGAATCAGGGTCATGACAAGCCCAGAAATCGCCACGTGTTTTGGGGAAACAGCTGCATCCCACTCTGCTGGGGTTGCGTGGACGCTTTCAGCCCCAAGCAGGACCAGGAATTGGGAATGAGCCATGGAAGCTAGATCAAGATTAGACAGTCCCTTCTGCGCACAGACTGGGAGGAAACGCCACCCAAATACAAACAAAGCTCAGGCAGAAAAAGCTCGCAGCAGGGTGTCCCTGCGCACCCTGCGCTGGGTTTTGGCACCTGTACCAGCCCCGGCTGGGTTGTGTCCCTGCCTGGCAGCGTGACAGGCGATGGCCGTGGCTTTGCCAGAGCTCGTGACCGAGCGGTCCACGTGCCGCATGCGTGTCCTTGGCACAGGGGGTAGCAAAGCCTCTCCCAAGCCGTTGCCGACTTGCTCCGTCTCCCCGGCTCATCTCCATCTCCCCTTCCCCGGCCGCCCAGGGCTGCTGGTCCCTTTGCAACAGGCTGCGGGTCCCCTCGAGAGAAAAGCCGCCGCTGTGGGCTCCTCGGTGCTGCTTCCCGGGCCGGGTAACGTCACGCTCATCCGCTCCACGCGGTGGGAGCACCTCAACGGCACCCGCTCCCGCACCGTCCTGCAGTTCTACGGGGGGTCTCGCAGCCCAGCCGTCCACGCGCCCTACGCAGGACGAGCCATTTTCCATCCATCCAACGGATCTCTCTTGCTGGAGGACGTCCAGGAAAGTGACAGTGGCATCTACAAAGTGACTGTCAACGTGGGAGACGAGGAGAGCCTGAAAATCCTGCTGGAAGTCCTCAGTAAGTGGTGGGCATGGGAGGGAGGTGGGGGGTGATGGATGCCAGCAAGCGGTGGCGTGATTTGACCGTGGGTAGACCGTCGGCCAGACAAAGGGCTGTGGAGAAGGGACTTGAGCTGGGTCTAATGGGCCAGTCATGAGTTGGCTTGAACCTTCCCTGCATGCAGACATCACCAGGGAGACTTTGGGAAGAGATTCCCAACCTGTCCCAGTGGAGGAGATCTGGTGGTGCTGCCCAAGGAGGCTTTCGAGGATGCCTGGCTGTGACAGGGCTGGGCTCCATCCTGGAAAGACAATTTCCTCCCTTGTTTTCTACTCCCAGTGCAGGGATGGGGGGAGTGGTGGGATGCTGCGTACCCGCGGAGGGTACCTCCGGCACTTTTACAGGGCAGCCAGGCAGAGCCGATGGAGCTCAGCCCAGCGGGGTGGGCTTTATGGAGAAGTCACGAAAAAAATGTGCCCCTTGGACCATGCTGGCTGATAGTCTTTGCAATTTGCAGGCGCCAGCTGCTGTCACTGAGATAAGAGCACACTTTAAATTACACAGAAGTTCCTCCTCAATATCAGCCTTGGCAATTCCCTTAATTTCCTTTGACATTATCCTTTCTCTGCTATATTAATGCTTGTTGCTGCCATAATGCTACCGCAGCCCTTCACCACGCATTTCTCCTTCCCACCACACATAGATCTGAATGGGAGCTGCATCCTTTTCCTCTTTTTTTTCTCCTCATTTTCTGCCATACTTAAAAAGCCTTGTACTTACCCAAATGCAATAAAAGCAATGACTCATCTAGAAGAACAAAAAAATGCCCAAACCCAAAAAGCGCAGCAGCCCTGTGCCGCGCAGGGATTCCCGAGGGGAAGGCACCTGGGATTGCACCCGTGCAGACTCCAGGATGCTGCGGTGGCAATCGCAGCCCAGGTCCCCGTCACGGATGCTCCGGGCCGTGCCCGAGAGGAGCGCTGGTGTTTGTCCCCTCTGCAGGGCCCGTGTCTCGCCCTCGGCTCCGGAGCAGTGCCCTGGTGGCGCAGGCCACCGGTGAGCTGCTCTGTGAGGTGGCGGAGGGCAAGGTGGACACCATCACCTGGAAGAAGGATGGGCAGCCCCTTCCCCCGGACAGAGGTTTCCACCTCTCTGACAGCCTCAGCGCTTTGCACCTGAAGTCGGCGGAGAAGTCGGACTGCGGCTCCTACTCCTGCAACGCCAGCAATGAGATAAGCTGGCAAGAAACCGCCCTGAACGTCACCGTTGCAGGTGATGCTGGCTGGGGGCTTCACCTCCCACCACTCCTCCTGCCCTCCACCCCTTCCCTGGGTGGTTTCACCCCATCCCTCTACCTCCGTCCCTCAAGGTCTAGCCTGCTTTCTCAGGAGGTTGTGGCCCACGGGCTGTTGAGAGCTGCTCCCCGTTGGAGGAGGAGGAGCAGCAGCTCCCGGTCTCGGATCCCACCAAGGCCCAGCCCTTGGCAGGATGGGCGACGGGCTGTTCCCTCTTGGCTAAGGTCCCAAGCGATGGCCCTTGGCCGAGGCGATGCTGAGCAGGGGGGCGGCGGACGCGGAGCCCAGCACGGGCAGCACGCGTCCCGGGTCGGACGTTTCATGGACCACAGCAATGAAATTTTCCCGCAGCAGAAAGCGCTGATCTGGCCACCAGCTGGCAAATAAACCGAATCTGTGACGGTGATGGAGGAGCCCCCGTGGCCCACCCGTGCCGGCCCTGCCAGGGTCCGACTCCCGGCTCCTCGGGTTGTTTCTTCCCAGGTCTCTCCCCGCCCTTGCAGGATGTGCTGAGGATTGCGGTGGTTGCTGTGGTTTTTGCTGCCGTCTCGGGATGGGGATTAATTTTTCCCGTCTGCCAGTCTGAAAAGCTAAGAATAAGTGAGTCTGCGGTTGAGGGGGGCAGAGCCCCTCGTTTCCCTCGTCTGGTGGGGGAGCGTGAGGAGCACTGTTGTGGGAAGAGCTGGTGATCAGTTCCTTCGCTTTCCAGCTGTCTAAATGTCTTCGTTTCATCTGGCAGGTCTTTATATGAGTAGAGAAACTTTCCCTCAGAAATATATTTAATGGTGAAAACTGATTTTACTCTGTTGTCAAGCTAGGTTAGATCCTGGTACTTCCCAGCCATTTTTGTTCTAGAGGGTTGAGGTGATTGATTGACATTTTTATAGAATATAAAAGTTTCTTGGGAGCACTTTTTTTATGACAAGGTTCCATTTTTAAGAGAGAATGTTTAATAATACACTGTACCAGCGGGCACAGAGCCCTTTCCAGCTACTCACACTAAAGAGGGGGGTCAAACCCCGGTCAGGGATACCCCACGGCAGCATCCCGGGTGGGGAGGGGCTGCATCCCACTCTGGGGAAGGGGTGGGGGCTGGGGTGGGACGTCACGGGGGTTCCCGGCAGTCACCCCACGCTGCTCTGGGTTTCTAGGGGGGGAGCTGTGGAGGTGGCTCAGCGCCTACACCTGCGGGCTGGTGTGCGTCGCCTCCATCCTGGCCAGCACCGCCGGGATCCTCTGGATGCAAGAGGAAGGTAGGAGGTGGCTGCAGGGGGGGGGGGGGGGGTGTCGGGGCGCGGGGGGTGCAGACCCCACTCCTTTCCCCCGTGCAGGTTGCAGCAGAGAAAAGCAATCCTTGCTGTGCGAACCATGTGGGGTGCAGACCTCGTGGGAGGTGTAGGGTCTTGGGGGGAGGTGGGGGGAGACGGAGGGGGAGGCAGTGCCCCGGAGGGGGGGGGGGGGGGGGGGTCACACAGTTAAACACGTGGGGATAGACCCTGTCTGAGCGACACGTGCCTTCCCCGCGTGGGGGCTCAGGCAGTCGTGGGGGCCTGGACCACCGTATGGATTACACACCCACCCACCCAAATAATATCGTTACTCCCCTTCGCCCAAAGCCCTTTTTTTGGTGTTAATTGCAGAAGGGCTGTTAAAATGATCAAGGGATGAGGAGGCTCCTTGCGAGGACAGGTTGGAAAGGCTGGGAGTCGGGAAAGGGTGGGACAGGGGTACGATGGGCGGTCACGAAATGATGAAGGTGGTAGACAGATGCAAGCGCTGCCACTCTGTCTTGTCCTGTGTGTTTTTTCCAGGCCCTTCTATTGCGATCATATTGCCAGAGATCGCCCTTACGTACGTGATCGTGGTAACCTTCCTGGTCTCCGCCACCGTGACCTTCCAGCCTACGAAGCTCCTCCAACTGAAAAGCAAAACAGGCAAAATGTTTTACCAAGGGTGGCAGGGAGGGAGATAAAACTGCTCCACGGGGTTTTTAAGTTGCCCCGAACCTCCTCCTTAGCTTTTTTAAAATGAAAACTTTATTTCTGCTTCTGTGCTAACTCAGGCTGGTGGATTCCCCGCCAGCCCGTGGGTGAGGGCAGAGCCCCCGTCCGCCTCTCGTAACACCCATTGACACCCCTTTGTCGTCTTTCTCTCGTGCAGAACAGCACACGATGGGTTACGCTGCTCCTGGAGGAGTGGTTTCGGTGGTGCTGACGACCAGCTTCCTCATAAAGAACATCCACCATCGCCACGGTGAGAGGGGCTGCTCCCCAGGATTTCTCATGCTGAGGCCAAAACTCCTCCACACTATGTAATCCCGATATCCCTTCAACTTGGCCATTCGGAGTTAGACCTGCTCCAAAAAAAAAAACAAAACAAAACAAAACAAACAAAAAAAAAAAAATCCGACAAATCCGGACTTTCAGAGAAGTGAAATCTCTGCCAAACCAAAGCTAGTTTTCAACACACGCCTCCCTTTTTGGTTTGTTTTTGTTTTTGTGGGTTTTTTTGGTTTTTTTTTGTTTTTTTTGTTTTTTTCCCCTCGTGTGCATGCATTCGCGGTGGCAATTTGCCCTCCTCCTTTCTCTCCCCCTGCTTCGGACGGCGTTTCGTGCCGACGCCTGGCTCGCCTGACCCCAGAAGAAGGATGCACGGAGTTCGTGGACGTGACCGCCCTCACTGTCAGCACGGCGGCCGTGTCGGCCCTCCCGCTCCTCGCCATCTTCCTCTGCTGTAAGTCTCCCCGCTCCTTCATTTCCCTGCCCCTCCGCGTGCCCTATATTCAGCAATCTGGTTTCCTTCCGTCCCCACGCGATCAACCAGCCACGTGAATTATTTAAAAATTGTTCGGCTCTTGTGATGACCCCGAGATCCCCCCCCCCATTGTCCGTTTCCCTTCCCCGGCGAGCCCCAGACACCATCCCCTGGGTGCAACATCCCATCCTGTGCGGTCAGGGTCTCTTTTTCTCCTGCCACCCAGAACAGACTTGTCCTTTCGCAGATCACACGACTCAGGGCTGGCTGAAGGAACGTGACTGCAGTTGGGCAGACAAGGCCAGGTAGATCCTCTTGCCACCTTTTTCTGCGTAAATTCATACCGTCTTGAAAGGAAAAGAGCAGGATATGGGAACCCCCCTGTGCCTCGTTTTAAGTCCTAGACCCCAAGAAAGATGCAGTCCGGCGCTGCGCTCCCAGCCCCTGATTTCCCCCTGGGTGGCTCTGGGGGGACGTCCCCACCCAGCAAAGCTCTTGAGTGTCTGCTCAAACCTCCCCACAAACCTCTCCCCCCCCCCCCCCCCCCCCCCCCCCCCCCGCCGTGGCCTCCGCCTGAAGCCTTTAAACCTTAATTCCTGCCGGTTTCGTGGCAGCCCTTTGTATTCCAGCCATGCCGGGGGTGCCTTTGGGCTTGGCCAACCCGCCTGCCTTGCGGGGGAATGCCCCCGGGGCATCCCATCCTCACGGGGCCTCAGCCAACTTCTCTTTGCCCCACCCAGCCAAAACCACCCCACACCCCCCCCACCCCCCCACCCCCCCGAGATACAGGGGAGCCAGTGTCGCACCCCCAGGCGTCTGCAGGGGCTTGGTGTGCCTGCGGCTCTGCCGGGTGCAGGGGCAGGGCAGGGTGGGCACAGCAGAGCCCCCAGCCCGCACATCCCACCTCCTCTTCCTTCCAGGTCGCCCGGCGGCAAGGCTCAGCCCGGCGGCAAGGATGCCGTTTCTAGCTGTTAGCGGTCGGTCGGGGTGTTTCTCGCTTGGCTGAGTCAACTCAATCTTTGTCGGGGGTTTAATGGGTTCAGGGCTCTCGGTTTTAATGGGTTTGATCCCCTGCGATACCTGTAATAAACGGCAGTGACATCAACTCATTTCTGCCCTTCCTTTTCTTTTTTTTTTTTTTTTTTTTGAACACAGAACCCGGGGGGGGAAACCAGATGCGCATTTTTTTCCCTTCAAAACCAGGCCTTAAAGTAGAGAAACACCTTTACAAATAGCTACAGAAGTCTCTCTCACCAGTTTATCACAAGAATAAGGCCACAGCTTCTTTTAAACCCATGTGGGTAACCAAATGCACCCACCCCACCCTTTCCCAACTGCCACGCTTGCCTTCTTGGTTCCCCGGTGCAGATGATGTCAGGGCATATTTTTTGGGGGGGGAGGGGGAGTGTCAGGCTTTCTCCCCCTGAACCCACAGGTCTGGGTGCTGCCTGTCCCCTTTAGTATGGGGCAGCATCACTTGGGGACCACTGTCCCCCCCCCCCCCCCATGCGGCTGGGGGGGTGCAGCAGCTGCTCTGAGCCTGCTCTTTAATCTCTTTGCTCAGATGCAAATCACTCTGGGCGAGCCCTGACCCCGGCGGGGGGGGTGCGGGGGGTGTTGATATTACCTCCTCCACTCCCAGGTGCGTTTTCCTGCTTGCAAAGAGGGGCTCGGCTGGGGGGGGGGGGGGGGGGGTGATGGGGAGGGCAGGATCTGGAAACTGCCTGCACTTCGGGGCAGGGGGGTCTTGTTCCTTGTGGTCAGCAGGAATTTGAATCCTTATTAACATTTTTTTTTTTTTTTAAATTTTTGGGGCGGGTTCTTCCTTGTTTTTTCCTGCCTGAGCAGGCAATGTCGCATCTGCATCTCAGTGCTGCCCCCACCCGCCCTGCTCCCACCCATCCTGGATAGAGAAACAACAACTCCTGGGCCTTTAGTTTCAAGAAAATACAGAAAAATCCTGTTACCTTCAGCAGGAACCCTACTTTTTGTGGACCCCCCCTCAAAACAACCCGACTTAGGAGGAGCATGCAACTGAAGATCAGGAGTTAAGTAAGACGGAGATATAATTAAAAATATACATTAAAATCAGAAGTGAGGGTTTAGACTCTGAAGACGCTGTGGTTTTACCCCACGGCTAAGCAACTATTTGTGACAGGTTTTAGCTGTTGGGATACAGGGAAACCACGATTTGTAGCTTAATCTCAGATTGAGTGTTCAGAATCTGGCAAGTTTTCAGGCACATCAAGGACCACGGAGGTCGTTACGGCCTTTGACACCAGCTAATTGCACAAAGCTAACGAGGCAGCAGCGGGTAGTGGGAGACAGAGCAGCTCAGCTGTGTCTCGGGCAAAATGTCCTCAGCCCTTCAGGATGCCAAGGTAATATTCAGCTTCTTGCTGGTACCTGAGAGCACCCTGCTTGGCTGTACTGGAGAGCACAATTGTATTAGAGGTAGGAGTTAAGAATTCACCCATTTCCATGGCTTTGTAAAGTTTCTTTTCCAGTTCCACCCCACCAGGTATTCACGCAAATGCAACTGAGCCCTGCAGTCCTGGAAACCTCAGGGCCAGCCCGAGGGGAAGCACACACAAACCCACCCACGGCTCCTGCCCTTTGTAGAGGGAATTTTCTCCCCTTTACAAGCTGTGTCACAAGGCTCTCTAGTTAATAATGGATGGAAAGCCGTTGTGTCACAAGGCTCTCTAGTTAATAATGGATGGAAAGGAGCTTTGCTGAGGGGCAGGGGCTGTGTTTGCACATCTCTGAGCCTTATGTTCTGCTTTCCTGTCGCCCCATTAGCAGTGAATGCAAACTGTAGGCTCAGTGTTTGTTTAGCTGTTGTCAGCTAACACCGATTTTTAACCATTAAGGTTAAAAAGTGTCTGATCTAATCTAGCCTGCTAGCCTAGACATGGGGAGGATGCCTGGTTGCCCAGGACCCTGGCCAGATGGCTTTTGAGTGCTGCCCATGATGGAGACTCCACAAGCTCCCCGGGCAACCTGCGCCAGCGCTGGGTCGCCCTCGCAGTAAACCAGGATTTTCTTGTGGTCGGATTGAATTTCCTTTTAACGTGTGCCCATGATGGGCCTGTCAGTGGACACCACTGAAAAGTCTGGCTCCCTCTTCATTACAGCCCCCCTTTCGATATTTATCCCCCTTGATGAGGCCCCCTCCAAGCCTCCCCTCCTCCAGCCCCAGCTCTCCCAGCCTCTCCTCGGATGAGAGAAGCTTCAGAACCTGAACCGCCTTCATGGCCCTTTGCTGGACTCTCTCCAGTAAACCCACGTTCCTCCTCCACTGGAGAGCCCAGAACTGGGCCCAGCACTCCGCACGGGGACTCACCAGCGCTGAGCAGAGGAGAAGGGTCACCCCCTGCCCCCCGCCCTGCCGTGATGCTCCTCCCAGCGCAGCCCAGGACACTGTTGGCCACCTCTGTTTTATCACATGTTGCCAACTCGTGGCCAACAACACGGTGGCCACCAGGACCCCCAGGCTCTGCAGAGCTTCTTCCCAGCTCTCCCTGTCCTGGTGCCTGGGGCTCCCCAGGGGCAGGACTTGGCAGGTCCCTTGTCCCCTTGTTGAACTGCGCAAGGTTCCTGCAGCCTGTTGAGGTTCCTCTGGATGGCAGCATGACCCTTGGGTGTACCAGCCGCTCCTCCCAGCTTTGGAGCCATGGCAAACTGGCTGAGAGTGCACCTTGTCCCCCAGTCACCCAGCAATGAAGATGTTGAACAGGACTGGCACCACTACCAGCCCCTGGGATGTGCCCGTAGTGACAGCCCGCCGGGCCTGGCTGGTGGTAGACTGGTTTGGGTGGGAAGGGACCTTAAAGCCCCACCCAGTGCCACACCCTGCCCCGGTGTGACGTGCGGAAACAGACTCCACAATCTGATAGATTGTAAAGTAGGTATGTTTATTCAGCGCTGAGGTTCACAGGGGATGACTCCTCCTATTGTGAACCCAACGTGTGATGCTGTTACCTAAGATTTATAGAGCAAATGATTACATATTCATAATATTTCGCAATACGCCTATACATATGCAACACCTATCCCCGCTTCGTATTATAATTAGCATTTCCATAATCTCCTCCTAGTTGAGTCTGCGCAGTGTCTTCTGGTGGTGGTCGTGGGGGTCTTTGGGGATGAAGTCAAGCTCCTCTTCCTCCTGTCCGCTCTGTGACCCCAGGTTTTGCGCAAACTCAGTTTCTTACTGGCTGTTGTCCAAACCGCGGGTCTAGTTCCAACCGGCTTAGTACTGATAAAGCCTAGAGAGCTCACCGTGTTTTACAAACTGTTTGTTCACTAAGCAGAACTGTTAACCGTTATCTAAACTATTTCCCTTGAACTATTTTCTTTTGTTATCCCCTTCTTGCTATTATCCCCTTCTTGCTATTCTCATGTTAACCCTTACATCCCCTGTTCCTATCTTGGCCCTGTATCAGGTGCCCCCAGCCCCGTCCAACCTGGCCTTGAACCCTTCCAGGGAGGAGCCGTCCCAGGAATTGGGTTGGTTTCAGCCAGTTTTCAACCCACCCCGCTACTCATTTATCTGACCTGGAGTCGGACGGCTTGTTTCTGAAGTCTCTAATGAGAGACGGTGCCAAAAGACCAGAGGTCCCAGGGGATGGGGACGGGCTGGAGATGGCTCCCAGAGCCGCAGTGTCTCCCGTGGAGTGGGAAGCTGCAGGTCCAGGTCCCTGCAGAGGTGGCAGCGATAGAAGCGGCTTCAGCTGCCCCCGGTCCGAGAGACGCGCGAACCCCTTCCCACAGCGTTACTCAAGCCACGGAGTAGCTGGTGCCGTACTGGGTGGCTTTGGGTGGGGGCTGAGGGTTCCGGCACCTCCCACCCCACGCCTGGCCCCGGCTCGGCTGGCGGTCCCCACGCTTCGGTGAGTGTCGCGGGGGGGAACCCGAGGCTCCGTGACGGGGGCGGCTCCGGGCTACAGCCCCCGGCGGTGGCTTTGTGGGGCCGGGGAGATGAGCGGGACGGGGGGACCGGGGGCTGGAGCGACGGGAGCGGGAACTGGAGCGGTGGGAGCCGTGAACTGGAGCCAGGGGACCGGGTATTGGAGCGCTGGGGTGGGGACTGGAGCGAGGGGGCTGGAGCGAGGGGACTGGGGACTGGAGCGAGGGGACCGGGGACTGGAGAGAGGGGACCGGGGACTGGAGCGAGGGGACCGGGGACTGGAGCGAGGGGACCGGGTCCTGGAGCGAGGGGACCGGGGACTGGAGCGAGGGGACCGGGGACTGGAGCGAGGGGACCGGGTCCTGGAGAGAGGGGACCGGGGACTGGAGCGAGGGGACCGGGGACTGGAGCGAGGGGACCGGGTCCTGGAGAGAGGGGACCGGGGACTGGAGAGAGGGGACCGGGGACTGGAGCGCTGGGGTGGGGACTGGAACAAGGCAACTGGAGCGAGGGGACTGACTGGAGCAGCGGCGGCTGGATTCTGGACCCGTGGGGCTGGGGACCGGAGTGATAGGGGCCAGGTACTGGACCCACAGAGACAGGGACCTGGAGCGGTGGGGCTGTGGAGTGGAGTGGTGGGGGGGGGCAGATTCTGGACCCGTGGGGAAGGGGACTGGAGCGATGGGGATGTGTGTTGGAGTTACAGAGACGGCTGCTGGAGCAATGGGGACAGAGGGATGAGGTGGGGGCCGCTGGGATTCCCCCACCCCTCCGGCACTTCCCCGCAGGGCCGCAGTCGCTCTCCCCCAGCAGGAGCTGGGCTCTGCTTCCCAGGGTCAGCTCTCCCCTCCTACGCAGCCTCAGAAATATTAACTAAATACTGGCAGGGAGGCAGATTCAACGGAAATCCTCACGGTGCTGTTTATAGAGCTCCCAAACAACCCGCCTCTCCCTCCCCCACCGGCCCCACCGGAGCTGGCCACGCTGCTGGCAGCGGGCTGCTGCCTGGCTGCAGCCCCCCGGCACGTCAAGGAGCTCCCCAGGGCACTTGTGGTTGAGGTTTGGTGGCCTCTTGCACGTGCAATTTCGGCTGCCCAGTCCCCCAAGCTTAATTTTATACAAAAGAGCATTAGGCAAGGGCAGGGTGAAGTTACAGAAGTCTCTGAAATAACTCATAATTCGTTAAGGTTGCTTGGTTTGTTTAGTGGCGCACTGTAGAGGTTTATTTAGAGGTGCAGTTATGCATAAAGCTGCTTTTTTTTTCTAGAGGAGTGTTACACCTGCTCCTTTTTTTTGGTTACTCTCACTTCTGGGTTGAAGCACGAGTGAATCTGTGGGCCTTTTATCTTCTCACAGTTAGTATAGGCCATGAAGAACCTTCACGACCGTCCTGCTGTTTACAGGGCCCTTGCGGTTTCAGATGAATATATTTTTCCCTTCCACTCAAATCATTACCTCTGAGTAGTATCTTAGAGTTTCGCTCCTTGTCATCGGTCGTAGCAGCCCTCCTGTTTCCCTTCAGTCGTGTTTCATATTTGCTAATGTGATATTTAATATTTCAAAGCTGTGGGGATGACTTATCATAGCATCATTTGCATCTTTTTTTTTTTTTTTTTTTTTTCCTGCAGTACCAGGAAAGATCAGAGATTCGTTACAAGGACAGTTATTATCCATTAGCCAGGCACAGCTCCCGCTCGTCCCTCCTGCTGCTGTAAGCTGCGGGGGGGGTCACACAGGGGGGGCCGTGGCACCCTCCCACAGGATCCGGCGCTGCTGCGCTCGCTCGAGGAGTCGGATCTCCAGGTAAATGTGGCGTGGGGGGCAGCCCCCCTCCTGCGCGGGGCCAGGCCGCCCCCGCAGCCCCCCCAGCCCTCGCCCTTTTGCCGGGGCTGATAACGGACCGGGGCCCCTCTTTGCCCACCCTCCCCGCTTTCCTGCGCGGGTGCTGGCGAAGCGATAACGCCGGCGGTTCCCGTCCCCGTGCCGATTGCCTTCGGTGTCACCCCCCTGCCAGCCCGCCACGGGCCCCTTCAGCTCCCTGCAGATGTTGGCAGCTGCCAATGCCTACTCTACACGCAAACCGCCAGAGGAGGAGGAGGAGGAGGAGGAGGAGGAGGAGGAGGAGGAGGAGGAGGAGAAGGCGGTTGCAATACGGGCGGAGAACCTTTTCGGCCCCTCTTGCCCCTCTCCAGCAGCAGGGAGGCCTCTCTGCCGTTGCCCACAGAAGGCTGATCAATGACCCTGGCAGCCCTTAAAGCCTGGAAGGGCGTTGTAGTGCTGGGGAGGTTCCCTTTCCCCAACACAGACATTTTTTTTGTTCTGGTAGGTGGTGCCTTAGCAATAGCGTAGCTCCAGTTCAGATAATGAGCTCCTTTTTTTAGCTGAAAAACAACTGACGCACATTCCTACAAAGGCCTCGATGAGAGGCTGAAGTGCCTTGGATGTGCTTCGCAAGTTCCACATGCGTGCTTGTCATGAAGAGCCTAAGATATCTATTAAAAAGATCTCTTTGTAAAACTCCGGCAGGCTGCAGTGTCTTTCTGTTTCAGTTTTCCCACGTGGATTCTGTAAAAATGAAAGATAACACAGCATAGCAGCAATCCTAAAAGCCAAGGAGAAAAACATGACAGCCTTAAGCACCTCACGAGTCTGATTCCTCTCCTTGTTCATGCAAGATTCCGCGAAAACTTCTGCAAATATCCGCCCCTTACCAGAAGTGTTGGTTCACATTTACAACGGCCTCTCAGACTGCAAATGTTCAACTGTGCCAATGCCCTGTGTGAGATGAGAGATTCTCTTCACGAGATAAAACAGCCAGCGTGACCCCGCCGTGCGGGGGCATCTCTCCACCCCGAGGCTCTCCTCCATCTCCCCGGGCGCGGAGCTGAGGAGCCCCGCTCTGCTGGGGGGGAAGGATGAGGAGGGGGGGACTCATTTTCCAAAAAAACAGCAAACTTTGAGCCGGAGGTGCGGTACGTGCCCTCCTTCCACATACGCTTTATTCTCCATCCCCTGGGATAACCCTTATCCCCTCTCCATAGGCACAGGGAGAGTGGCGTGCCCAGCTGTGCTGGGTGGGGAGAAGGGAATTTTCACACTGATTTGGATTTGCTTGGAAATCCTCCACCGCTGAAGAGCATAAATAATTTTTCCACGGCTACTTTTCTTATATCTTTAAAACAGCCCTGTAAGCTACCGAACAAAACATGGTTCTCATTTCCCTGTAAAAAGCCATTTCTTGACCAAACTTCAGAGAGCAAGAGGATACCAGCAAAACCAGCCAAGTGGTCACTAATTTTAGCACCACAACCCTTCCATCTCAAACCCTCCTCCAGAGTCTCGGGCGTTTTGCAAAGGGAAAGAGGATAGAGTCTTCTGCTTCTTCTCCAATTCTAATTAGCCCTGTTTGTTAACAAGCAAATAAAATACCAGCTGTGAGGAAATCCTCAACAGAAATTACAGGATTTTTCATGAGCTCCACGTACCCGCTGACCTAGGAAGAGCACAATAAGGGGCTTGTGTAAGACCCAAAGGCATTCAAATAATCATCTTCCTACACATTAATGTGACTTTGCAGCCTGCAGCAGCCACTCTGTCCCAAAGAATGCGTTTTTTTTTTTAGCTTCACAAAAGCTAAATCACCCTTAACTTGGGTGATTTTTCCCCAGTACAGTGTTTCTTGAATTACTTTTAGCAAGGCAAAAACCAGGGACGTGCCGTTGGCTCCTCTGGTGGGGGGGACATCCTGGGCTGGAGGTCTCTGTCGCAGGAGTGACCATGACAGCTCCTGGCTGGTTTCTCCTCCCTTGGGTTTTGGGGTTTTGTTTTTTTTTTAATTTTCCCCTTCTTGGGGTTGGGGGCCTGGGGGGATGCTTGGCTGGCTCCAGGAGAGCGTGCTGGGCACGTGGGCAGCTCCGTGGTGGAAACGGCTTCTCTTTCAGATTCAGATCTGCTGTTTGCTGGAGTCCCCGAGGGAAACCTGGATGCTGCTGGGAGGTAATGTCCCCCCGAAGGGAGCTCAGCCTTAAACACACTTTTGCCTCTGGTTCATAAGGCAGCTCCTTAGCCACTGCCAACTTCAGGCTGTTTCTAAAATAAAACACGTCTCTAAATGAGACCATCTTGCCCTCGTCCAGGCCCAGCTGAGGCTGATCACAGGGCAGTGAAAACCCTTTGCCAAAGAATGGTCCCACTGTGCCCTTCCCCGCTGTCCTCCGCCCCCCACCCTTGCTCCAGAGCCTTGCAAAACCCAACAGTGAATGCAGTCCCTGTTGTCCAAACGCTAAAGCTTCCAGTCTGGCTCTGCAAACCAGTTCTGAGCACCGGTTCTGTTCAAGCGATGCCCCATCGCAAAGCGTGTCGGATGCTGGCAGATTGTTCCCGAGCTCTCTCATGCCCACCCACTGCTGCGGTGTGCGCTGCAGTCTCTGTAGCGAAGAAACAGAGGCAAAAGGTCGCTAAAAATAGTTGGAGAAGACCCAGAGAACAGCAGCCATAACGATCAAGAGCTGGCAAGGAGGGACAGAAAAGTCTGGGAGCCCTCAGGTTGGAGAGGAGGGGATGGGAAAGGGGTTGGGATGGTTTCAAAGTTGGGAAGGCGCTGCGTAAGGCAGATGTGGAGCCCATATTCCCTCCATGCCACGCAACAAGGGGCAGGGCTGCTCGAGGGAGTGATGAAATGGGTTCAAACAGAGAAGAGAAGGTGCTTGTGTAGGCGCTGGGGTGTGAGCGTGTGGCTCCTGCTACCCTGGGAGGCTGTGGAGGTAGTTGCTAAGTGCTGATGGGCTATTTCATGGCCAGCAGATGCAGAAATAAATACTAAAGGGAGCGAGGCAGGATTGTCCCTGCCGGCACTGTAAAGCAGCAGCACACGGGCAGGGTTGCAGGAAGCGGCCAGGCACTCTTGTCAAGGCGATGCCGGGTCCGTGGGGGGCACGGGGGGAAGGTTGGGGGGGGCTCCCCCATGACTGCGCTGAGCACCCTTCGCCCGTCCCAGCCCCTCGCGTGGCAGATGCCGACGGCGCTTTTCCCCGGTGTCCCTCGCAGGCCCGTCCAGCATGTCTGGAGCAACCAGCCCAAGAGCACGTCGCGGCGGGAGGAGCTCGTCCCTCGTGCTGGTTTGAAAGCGTCCGCAGGGCTTTACCATGTCACCCTGGCCGGCGGCGGCCGTCGCAGGCTGTGAGTCTGAAGAGGGATTTGTGGCGGGGGGCTCGCATCGGCCGCGCACCTAGCTAAGTGGGACCACCAGTTTTGCAGGGCTTAACCCCCCCCTCTTGAGAGGATGGTGAGGCTGAGGCTGAATTCGGCCGTAGGTTTTAACAGTGTTCAGAAAGGTCAGCTCTCAGACACTGGTTATTTAGCAGCCAGGACTGCCTAGTCCCAAGGAAGTTCATTTCAGAGCCTGTTTTCCAAGCAATGCTCTTCCTTTCAGGTGACAAGGGAGCAGCTCAAGATCCAGGGGTGAAGTTGCACAGATTATGGTTCCTGTTAGCAACTCCTGATGTGCAGATAAACCCCCAAAAGTCCAGATTCCCATCATTTTCATCCCAAAGGGCAAGGAATTGTCTTAACCAGCTAAGAAGCATTTATATAACACACCAACAGAGATGTTACGGTTTTTATCACAACGGCGGAAGGAAATCAGACATGTGGCATGGCATGCTTCAGGAAATCAGTTAGTAACTTGTGCCGAAATAAAAAAAAAAAAATAGGATGTACAAGCAGATTAAATTGCTCCTTGGCTTTTGCTTTAAAACTAACCCGTTCTGCTCCGGCATCTCTCCTATTTCCAGACCTGTTGCTGGTTTTGCAGGGGTCCTCCACAGTGGTGGAAATCACAGAAAGAAGAGTTGCAGCTGAAGGATCCTCCGTACTGATGTACGCGCCGGATATCGAGAATGTAAACTTCACTGAATGGGAATACATAGGAAACGGGACTCACAAATTCATCCTGCAGTACTATGCAGATCACCAGGCTCCAACCATTTACACAGCTTACCAAGACAGGGTGGTTTTCAACCCAGAGGATGGCTCAATTCTCCTGCAGAGGTTGCGAGAGGCAGACAGCGGCATCTATAAAGCAACCGTCGATCTGATGCAGGATAAATCTAGGACAACCCTCCTTGAAGTTATCAGTAAGTCAAATGCCTCGAGAGGATGGTTTTTTAGATAAAGATTGGCCGGTCAGTGCAGCAGACAGGCCCACCAAATGGCAATCGGGGTAGAGTTATAGAATTGTAGAGTGTCTTGAGTTGGAAGGGACCCATAAGGACCATCGAGTCCAACTCCCTGCTCCTCGCAGGACCACCTAACTCTGAACCATAGGACTAAGAGCATCATCCAGACACTCCTTGAACTCTGACAGGTCTGGCACTGTGATCCTGTCCCTGGGGAGCCTGTTCCAGTGAGCGACCACCTTCCCAGCAAAGAACCTTTTCCTAATGTCCAACCTGAACTTCCCCCGATGCAGCTGCATCCCATTTCCTCTTGTTCTATCGCTGGTCACCGGAGAGGGGAGATGGGCTGCTCCCCCCCTTTGCTGACCCCTTTGAGGAAGTTGTAGGGTGTGAAGAGGTCACCCCTCAGCGATGAGGCCACCCCTCAGCCTTCTCTTCTCCAGGTCGAACAAGCCAAGTGACCTCAGCTATTCCTTGTAAGTCTTGCCCTCGAGGCCTCCCACCATCTTGGTCGCCCTCCTCTGGGCACACTCTGGTAGTTTGATGTCCTCCTCCTACTGAGATGCCCAAAACTGTGCCCAGTACTCGTGGTAGGGCTGCACCGATCCCCTCCCTTGACCAGCTAGTTACTCTGTGCTTGATGCACCCCAAGATACAGTTGGCCCTTTTGGCTGCCAGGGCACCCTGTTGACTCATAGTCAACTCGCCATCACCCCAAAGCCCACATCTTCTTCCGCTGGGCTGCTCTCCAGCCTCTAGTCCCCCAGTTTGTAGGTATAACCAAAATTACCCCCTCCCACGAGGGGAATCCGGCACTTGCTCTTGTTGAATTTCACACAGTTGGTGATTGCCCACCTCTCTAGCCCATCCAGATCTCCCTGCAAGGCCTCTCTACCCTCAAGGGAGTCCACAGCTCCTCCTAGTTTAACATCACCAGCAAAATTACTTAATGTACATTCAACTTCTGCGTCCAGATGATTTATAAAAACATTAAAGAGCACTGGCCTTAAAATTGAGCTCTGGGAGCCCCACTGGTGACTGGCCACCAGTCTGATGTCACCCCTTTTACTATAACTCTCTCAGCCTGACCTGTCAGCCAATTGCTCGCCCAACGTACTACGGACTAGCCTAGCTGTGTGCTGTGACATCCATCACAGAAGGATGCTGTGAGAGACATTATCAAAAACTTTGATAATAATAATAAATAATAATAATAATAATAATAATAATAATAATAATAATAATAATAATAATAATAATAAAAACAAAACACTTTTACTGACTTCCCTTGGTCAACTAGATGAGTGACTTTGTCGTAAAACGAAATTATGAACCCTCATGAACTGGTGCTGGCTGTGACTAATGACTGCATTGTCTCTCACGTGTTTTTCAGTAACTCCCAGAATAACAATTCTCCATAATTTTACCAGGCACTGAAGTGAGACTGACAGGCCTGTAATTACCAGGGTCTTCCTTCTTACCCTTCTGAAAAATTGAGACAACCTTTGCCGGCTTCCAGTTGACTGGGACCTCTCCAGATTCCCAAGACCATTGAAAAATAACGGAGAGAGGTCCCGTGATTGTATCGGCCAGCTCTTTCAGTGCCCTGGGGTGAATCCCATCGGGCTTATGTGCATCCAGCTGGAGCAGCAAGTCTCAAACTGGAGACATTCTGCACAGACTGGAGACCCTAAAAGAGTTGCTGGGAAATGCCAGAGGGTTTTTTGGAACCAAGTCTGGCTGTGGGTTGAGTTCCTGGTTGGGACATCCTGGAGCGATAGAAACGGGGGACACCTTCTGCCTTAACTTTTATTCTAGTTGATTTGTCATGAACAGCCGCTCACAGGAAGCGTATGGCATCAAGCTCCCTCGAGAGAAGGGATTTCTGCTCACATTTGATGACCAAAACAAACACCACGGTAATGATTTGAGGAACGCAGGAGCTGCAGGTTGTGGCCGGTCCCTTGGAGCTGGGGCCAGAAGCTCCTTGGTAGCAATCCCAGGGTCAGCTGCTGCCCCACCAGTTGCCTTACTAAGCCCTTCAGGATCAGACCCTGAGATCATCGGGGTTTGCGGATGCTCTTCACCAGAGAGTGGGTCTGCCAGGCAGATGTGGCTCCCTGCAAGACCTCCCTCCGCACAGCTCCGGGCCTCGCAGGCTCTCCCCCTTCGCACCGGCATCTCTGAATTTCCCTGAAAAAGAAACAGAAACGAGAGTTCACCCTGGTTTGAACTGCCCTTTCGCAGAGCTCAGCATCACTGCAGAGCATACCGCCCGTGGGACATCCAGGGATGAAGGACCTCGGGAGCCTGTGGTTGCTTTCCAAGACGTTAGCTGAGGGACGGCGTCAGCCCTCCTGCTGCCTGTGGCAGGGGTCTCCAGCACGCGAGGCTCGCTTCTCCGTGCTTTGGCCCACGTGGATTTAAACCGCTTTAAACGCAGGCAGCAGCGGAGTCCCACGTTCCTGCTCTTTGGCTGAACTTCGTGACTTCTTTGACACCCCCCCTCCCCCTTCCTCCTCTCCTCTCAGGACACCCCATGCCAGACAGTGTCCGGAAGGTCCCTGTCATCACTTCCCAGTGTAATCCCAGCTCTTTCGGGCTGGAACCCCTGAGCCCAGGGTGCCGTGCCTGATCTCCAAGGGTTGGTAGTGCCCGTCCTAGGGGTGCCACGGTGGCAGGGATGGGGACATCTGCCTTCCCCTTTGAACTTGGTGGGTTGCTGCCCCGCTCCTGCAGTATCTTCTCTCCCTCCAAACCGACCCGGTGTGTAAATCAGAAGGGAAGGACCCGCTCGCTCCCCAAGGGGCTCGGGATTCTTGCACGCCACACAGTTTTGGGGTCCAAAACAAGGCAGTGCTCACGCTCCTGGGGTTGCTACCACGCTGCTCTCTGCTTTCCAGAGCCTGTGCCCCAGCCGGAGATCCAGTACCATTCAAACCTGGCAGGATCGTCCATCAAGCTGGTCTGCGCGGTGCCAGAGGGAACAGTGACTTCCATCTCCTGGGCGAAGGAGAGGCAACCCCTTCTCCCCGAGAATTGCTACCTGCTCTCTGAAAACGTGCTGCAGATACGGAATGCGGGGAGGTCGGACTGCGGCTCCTACTCCTGCAACGTCAGCAACATGATAAGCTGGAAGGAGGCAGTCCTGAACCTGACAGTGACAGGTTAGCCTTGCCCCGCCGTGTCTCCTCCCTCAGGTTTTCCAGCACCCTGCAGTTTCCCGAGACCGGCGCCCTGGGTTTCGGGGCTGTCCCCAGCGCGGGGTCTCCCCCCTGCCCTGCCTTGCAGGTCTCACGTCCCGTGTACACTACGCGCAGAGGCTGGCCGTCGTCGCGCTGATGTTCGTGGCCATCTCCGCCGTCATCTTCCTTATCCTGCTCTGCCGGCTGGGGGAGCACAGGTTCGGTGAGTGCCAGGAACTGCACCCCAGCCCCCCAAACTAAGCCCTTCTCTCCCCGCTGTGGACAGAGCAGACCAAGCTCCTGCTCCCCGTCGTCCTAATTCACTTCGGTGGTGGGAGGAAACGTCCTCAGCTCACGCATTTTTCCTTATGCCTCTGTAGCTTGCGCAGAAAATCAAACTCCCTCGAAGCGGCTAATCCCAAATGGCTTTGTGAGAGACAAAGCCAGAAATATGGCAGTACCAAGCTATATGAGTCATTCCTCGGGCATCCCTGGGAAGAAATAAAAAAGCGCAGCAGACGTAAGCTGCGTGGGAAGAGCCTTCCTGCCTGGAGGTGGCCAGAGATCGTGTCTCATGGGTTTTGGTGACCAAGCACACGGGTGTTTGGGTCATGGCATTGGATCCGTACCCAAGGAGCATACAGGTTGACGTGGGTGCTTCAGTAGCAACATATATATATATTGTTTAACGGAAAACAAACCTAAAGACGCAGCTGACAGCAAGTCCTCCCACAGAGTCTTTGTAATCTGCTTGTGTGTTCTTCTCCCCACCACGAGTAATTCCCAGAAAACAGAGCTGGTTCTCCAGAGGTCTTCTCTCCATCGGGAGAGCCGAGGTGAAGCCCTATGTCTGGCAGGAAAGTTGCCCCGTGTGTATTTGTCTCTCAGCTTTAACGCGGGGCACGCAGGTTGTGGCGTTTGGGCTTGCCTTCAGGGTGGTGTCCCCCGAGGAGTGCTCCATGCCTGGTGCTCATGGCAAGAGTTTGTGCCCTGTGGGCTTTCCCCCATGAACTGGGGCTCCAGAGGCAACCCAGCACTAGTCGGGTCGTTATAGGAGGCAAAATCTCAGGCAGAAGTGTGGCAAAGTGGCTCACTAGGTGGAATTGGTGTCTGGTTCAGTGTGGAGCAACCCCAAATCTGGCTGGTTCCTTCTGGTTCCTCCCGAAGTCAAACAAAGCCCTTGAAAGTTCACCAGGTTTTCTCTTCAGGGTTTCTAAACCTCAGGGATTCAATTCATTGCAAAGAAAACCTATTTTTTTAACATTTGCCTTTTTTTTCCAGGAAATGACATACATAAGTATGTAATTCTGTCCACTCACATCCTGCTGTTTGTCTCCTCTCTCCTCCTTCTTGCCACCTCCATCATCTGGATGCATGAAGAAGGTAGGATTCATTTAACACGATTTGTTCTTGATTGCTTCAGTGTCTCATCTTTCTCTTTCCTCCAGGTCTTTACAGTAGCATCTTTGATGTAGCGGTATTTGATTTGAATAAATTGAAGTTAATCTCCACTGCTCTGTAGCCTGCAGGTTCCTCTGTCTCTTCTCTTTCGAAACCAAAGGGCTAAATTTGTCCCTTTGCACTCTTCAGGTACCGCTACCCTTCTTGAGGACTTGTCAAAAATTGAAAGGCAGTTCAGAAACCACTTCCAGCAGACTTTAAGGAACCGTGGGCTGTGTGAACACACAGCTCAGCTCTTCTAAAACTGCTCTGTAGCCAGTTCTTCCCTGCCCCGGGCTGAGGCTCCCTCTTTGTCGTGCTGCGGGTGCTCGCTGGCTATGCGCCGAGCTGCAAGCAGACGTGAAGCCAAACAAGCCCCAGGACCCCCCCCGCCCCAAACGTGCGGGTCTTCCCCCTGTTCTCTGTTGAAAGAAGGGCGCTGCCTATGTGTGCATATTTATAATAAATAATGCCTGCTACCAACTTCCAGGATAAAAACCCCCCGTCAGCTGTAAGATACGGTCCCTTGGCCAGCAGCCACCCAGCCAGTCCCGCTTCCAGCCCCGTCCCCAGGTGCTGGGGACCCACCTTGGGGACAGCCCAGGGTGATGCCTCCTGCGCTCCCAGACGCAGCACTCGGGTGCAGGCTCGCCGCAAGCCAACTTCCCTCTCCTCGCTCTCAGGCCACGGCCTCCACCGGGTTCCGTTTCACCTCCTGGTTTTCCCCTGCTCCCGCAGGTCTTTGTGCTGCCTTTGTCTTGGTTGGGCTGTTCTTCTTCGCTGCCCTAATCGCAACCGGCCAGGTGGTCGCAGCAGTGCTGTGGAGACCGGCAACTCTCAAACGCTTCAAAATCAAAACGTGTAAGTAAGTTACTCTTTATGTTCTAAACCTCTGGTTGAAAGGGCCTGATAAAAGCCCAGGAGCAAACTCAGTAGGTTTTCCCCCCTGGGAGGGGGCAGAGGCTTGGCACGCTGTCCAGAGATATTGCCCACACCTTGCTCACTCTCCCACCTCCACATGACAGCCTGCATTCCTTACTCATTCTCCTCTCACCCAGTAGCAATTTTTCCCCTCTCCCAGGGTACCGTGTCATCTGGAACTCCACAGCCCCCACAACACTGATAGTCAACTTGTTGTTCGCCACCCCCTTGCTCTGCAGTATCCAGAAGCTCCACGGTAAGGGCTGGCCCGGGCTTGTGCTGCTCGTGCCCTTGCTCACCTCTCTTCTGGGGAGCAGTGGGGTATCTGGGGGGAGGGTTTGGGGGGCGTGTTGTCTTCACACAGGGCAGAGAGAGTCCTTAGGTGGTTTTGCATGGCTGGCCCTGCAAAAAAACTTGTAGCTGTCGTTGTGGCAGCTTCGGGTTGAGTGGGGAGGTTGTGGCAAAGCAAGGTTCGCCCCGCTGGCTCCGTGATTTGGATCACAGGGATCCCCCCCCCACACCCCTCCCCACATCGTGTAGGACGTCCCTGGGTTAAATCACTGGCGCCAGATTGTTCAAAGGAGGAAGGGGGGGTGGTCAGAGGAGCAACTGCTGACAAGTTCTCCTTTCCTCTTGGGCAGAGCGAGGCTGCGCAGAGGCCGATGATCTGCTGACCAGCTGTGTCTCTGCTGCCGTCGCGGTCCTCATAATGCTGCTCCTCCTCCTCTGGTGTAAGTAGCCCCGCGGTTTTTCCTTCCCAGAACTGTAACGAGCTTCTCAGCCACCGCAACGCCCTCAGGCTCAGCTCTCACACCCTCCCCTGGCAGTGGGTATGAAGAAAGATGCTTTCAGTTAGATAAAAGCCAGGCTTTTAAAGAGTGGGTCGGCGCAAATCCGCCGAGGACCCAACTTTGGTGTCTGTCCTTTTCGGAAAGCCACAGTAGGCACTGGGTCCTGCCCACGGTCCTTGCCACCACCTCTGCTTCGCCCACAGATGCTCAAGGAAAGCAAGTTTCTTCTCCAGAACATCCTACTGAGGTCTTCCCTAGCAATAGCCATACCCTGGTCAAAAAAGGCTCAGCTATGGCAAGCTTTGGGAGGAGAAAACTATCTGATAAACAGACAGAAATAGGTCTGGGAACATCTTGTGACCCGGGAGAGCAGCTGTCCAGTCATCCCAGTGAAATGAGGCTTGCAGGGTGTGGGCGGATGGTTCATTTTCCATCCCACCAGCTCTGGGATGGGAGGGGAGAGATCGGGAAGGTGATTTCCACATCTGCTGCATTTTTTCAAGCTTCTCCTTTTAAAGTTCCTGGTTTCTGTGGTCTCACCATGTGAATTCCCTCACTGCCATGATTAGCAATTTTACCCGGCCTCCCCCAGTCGCGAGGGCTGGCTGGACACCCCAGCGGCGTACCCAAAAACGCTGGCTCAGCCTTTGGGGTCACAGGTAGCATCTCGGGGGAACGGGAAAAAAAGGAAGGTCAGTAGCACGCTGAGGGGAGGATGGACTCCAGGAGAGGGCTGGGAGGGGACTCGCATGCTTCCCCAGAGCACACAGAGCATTTCCAAGGCTGAAATATAAGAAATATTGCAGCGAGTCCATACAGCCAAAGGGAGGCAGGTTAGAGCTGCGGGGGCTGGCCGGCGAGGCGGGTGTCGTAGCCAGAAGTCCACTCGCCGTGCTGCCTTCTTGCTTTTCCCCCCCAGCACGGGGCTCTCCCGCTTTTGGAAACAGAGGGGTGAAAGGCTCCCATCTTCATTGCTCTCTGCAGCCAGCTTTTCTTCACCCGTCCCGGGACGTGCAGGGTGCGGCCCAAATTGCCGGGGCGTTGTTGGAAACCCGGGAGTTATGTGGCCTTTCTTTTATTTCCAGTTCACAGGAATAAGAGGAAGGAGGCGGTGATGAAAACACAGCACACCACCCGGAGCACACAAGTCACGGACACCTTGGTAACTCATTACCATTAGCTGGTTCCCCGCTATCGCAAATCCTTATTATGTAGTGATGAATATTTAATTCAAAAGGAACATTTATTAATATTTTAGTCATAATAGCAAGGCAGCATCTGCCCGCCTTACTGCAGAATGCTATGGGCTTTGTCCTCACCCTGGGGGGGACACAGGGAGCCTGATGGTGCCCGGTGCCCTAGCTCAGCTTGGTCCCACGGGACCCCTGGGGTCACTGCCACGTCCTGGGGAGCTTTCCCGGGTTTGGGGTTCGGGGGGAGCAGTTTCACCTGCCTGTGCCAGCACTGCAGGGACGTGCTCGGTTGCCGGGAGAAACATCTCGGTGGCTCGAGTCTGCCAGTTCTCAGGGCTGCTGCAGTTTGATTTGGGTGAAAACAGCCTCTTCTACTACACCTTAACCCCAAGCAGCTACAAAGAAGGCACAGAGGAAAACCACAGGTCCTGCACCCACAACATCAACCCTAAATGCACACACCTCCTCTATTCGCTTCACTCTCCCCCTTCCTCCCGGCTCTGCCTCAGAGAAACCTCCCTCCCTCCCACGCCAGCACCCCCTTCCTCTCCTGTCTCCTTATTTCAGAGATGCCAGAAGGATTTGAGGGTCAGGGGAGCCCCCCCCTTACCTCTCCCGCACCTGAGCCTTAGGCTTGGTGGCAGCACAGGGGGCTGATGCTGCACCTCTGCATTTTGGGTGGTGCAGGGAGGGGGATTTACTGCCTCCCCCCCCCCCCCCCCCCCCCGCCCCCCAGCAGGTCTCTAGGGTGATTTAAGGGATCGGGATGTTTAAGAGGAGCACAACGGCACCGTGTGCCATATCCCAGGGCTGGGACATCCTGCGCCCCCCCCCCAGCAGCATGGCCTCCTGTGGGATGCTTCGCCACGTCCCTGTCGTGCCACCAAAGGACATGGTCCCTGTGTTTCCGGCAGGTGATAGAAGAAACTCAAGGACACAGACAAGAAGGGGAGTTAACGGGCGGCCCCCCCCGCCAGCCGGGGAGCTGCGCTCACACGTCGGGGGCAGCCGGGGAAGAGCCCCCCAGGGCTGGGAACCTGCCGTCGGCTAAAGCAATGCACACCTAAGATCTGCCTCTAGCCCAGCACTAGCAAGGCAAGGCTTTTGGCAAAAATCTTGCCACCCAGCTCTCCAAGCAATATCTCCAGGTGACAAAAGATACTCCCCTCACCCCGCTTTCCCTGCCCTCGATTCATAAAACCCAGGCTAGGAGAAAATACGAGCTGTTGCTCTTGCTAATGCTGGTCACCACCCAAGCGAGGGCAGCTCTTCCATAAGCCTAAAATTGTACCAGACTCCAAGCTGGGGGTTAACCATCCTCACTAACACTGTCACACCACGTGCCCTCTTGTTTAGTATGTTAATGAGCCAACAGCAACAGCAAAACCAAAAACAAACAGCAAAAAGGCATGTAAATGTCGATCAAGGGAAAAAGTTTGTCAAGGAATTTGATGCCATCGTCTCAACCAGAACATATCGCTGCTATTAATTAGCACAGCCGACTGCAGAAGAGCAGGCTGGGTCCCAGCTTTAGCTGCTGGCCCGGTCAATATTTGTTCCTGTATAAAAGAAGCACATTCCACACTGCCCAAGCGCCGCTGAGATGTGCTGCTGCCCCTGTTTTTGCTTCCGAAGCTTTAAGCTGGCCCTGGTTTGCTTTCAGCAGAGCTCTGCTGGGCTGTGACCCCGTGAAGTTTTTGGTGTCAGCACCCACGTGTGACCACGGCTGCTTCTGTGCCGCTTCCTCCTCCTGCCTTTCTAAGTCGCTTTTTAAAGTGCAACGGGTGGGGCTGGTGGCAGCTGTGTGATCGCACCTTCCCCTCCAGCTTGCCTTCCCCCAAATTTGCAAAGCAAATGACCCCGTGCCACATCACCTTCCTCGGAAAACTCAGCCCAAGCCCTTGTCTGTCTGTCCTACGCCTGCTTCTGTCCTTGCCTGCTGCCAGCTCCTCCAGGCCCACCCTCGACCCCACGCTCCCTACCTTGGGAAGGATGCCTTGCCCTTGGGAAGGATGCCTGACCAGTAAAGGCAGCTCCATCCGCACCCTTATGTACTTTCAGGGTGGGATTTTTTTCTAATGTATTTTAAAACATTCCTAAACTAGATTGGCCTGAGCTGGTTTCCCTTCCACAGGACGTCACCCTTGAATTCATGCCATGGCCTTCAGCAGTTTCCTTTGCAGGTTGTAGCATTTTAGGTAACGTTGTCGTAAGTTCTGCTGAGGTCCTTTTTGTTGTTCCACTCAGACAGGATGTCAGCTCTAAACCATGGTCATCTGTAAAAAAAAAAAAGGCAAAGGAAAAAAATACCTTATCTTATTTTTTCTTCATTTTGTTACAGCCGTTCTAATAAATACATTTTGCTAGGATACTTCCATGTGTATCCCCATCTTGGTTCCTCAAGCACAGGATGACTCCATCCTACTCCCCGCCCCGCTGATGGGCTGGTTCCTGCCCTGGTGAGTGCTGGACCAGGTTTCATGGCCCTGGGGGGAGTTTCGGGCTGCCCAGCCGGGGGGGGGCATGGCTTGGCACCCGTGCCAGGGGAACGCTGGTTTGGGGGAGAAGCCGGCTTCCCGCCCTGTCTTGGCCCTGCTTTTTCCTGTGAGGGGCTCGGGGTCCTCCCCTGGTGCAGCCAGGAGTCGTCCGGGCTGTTAAGTCACAGGAGGGTGCTGGGTGCTGCACCCCTGCTGGGTGGGGGGGCCTTCCCCCCCCATCACCACATCCCTCAACATCCTTACCTGAAGCCTGAGCGTCCGGCAGGGATGCTGGGGGTGCCGGCGGGCTCTCTTCCCACTGTCACTTATCCTGCCAGCTGCCTTGGGCCATCCCTCACCCCCAGGCTGGATTCAGGGTGCCCCTCCTCAGCAACAGCCCTCTCCCCGGCTGGATGTGGGGTGCAGGGGACCACTGCCCCCCCAGCAGCACAGGGATCTGGCTGAGCTGGGGACAGGTCTCCTCCGGCGGGGCTCGGACCAGGGACGGAAAGCCCAGGGCAGGGACGTGTGCCCTGTAATTCTTGCCTGGTAGAGTGCGGCCGGCGGCAGCCAACGGGGAGCAGTTTGGGATGCTGTGGCTCAAACCTGGGGGGCAGACCCGAGAATTCCCCATCTGTTGCCCCACTGAGCCCAGACCACACGGAGGAGGAGGATGGGGAGGAGGAGCGAAGGCAGGGCAGCGATGGCTGGGCAGGCAGCTTGCACCTCAGGGGTCTTGGCTTGCTCGGGGGCTGTGCCCCAGAGAAACGCTGGCAGCGAGGGCTGCTGCCCCATAGAAAGGAGGAAAAACCTCCTGCCTGCCAGGCAGTGCGGGGCTGGGAGCCTGCAGTCACTGCTTCCCCATGGCGGGGACCAGGACGAGGGACGTGGCAAACCCAGGGAGCTCCAGCCACTAGCCAGAATAGAATGAATTTCCTACAGTGAGCGACAAACCCCGTGAAACAGCTCTCTGAGAGCTCCAGGCCCCCGGGGTACAGGGCCAGAGCTGCATCCACCCTGTCCCAGCTCATTTCAGGTTACTCCAGCAAGATTCTTTCCTGTGCAAAGGGGGAAGGGATAAACAAAAGCCCACGGAGACACAGCCCAGGTAGAGGGACAAAGGGAGATGATGCCAAAGACCAAAAATCTCCAGTCACCAACTGATGGGCCACGAAGAACCGACAGGCAGAGCTTTGGAGAGGCCAAACCTGGAGTTTGCAACTGGTAAGAGGAGGGGAGCAGGAGGAAGATGAGGGTTTGGGTTATTGGAGGGGGGATGCGGCGCTGTGCAGAAATACTGAAGGAGGGGTTGGGGGAAGGGGTGGAGAGAAGGAGGGGAACCCAGCCCTGATCACCCCAGTCTGCCCCAGCTTCTTATTAAATCCTTTCTTAGTTTATCTGTATCAGCTCACTCTCCATCCCGTGCGGGATGCGCCGCAAGGACTCGGTGCCAGTGACGGGGCTGGAGGGTGAGGAGGGGCACTGGTGGGAGCAGCCGATGGGAGCAGCCATAAAGGTCTTAATGGGAAAAATGCTGCCAGAAAGTGGCTGCTCGGGACCGGGAGAATCCTTGGGCAGCGCAGCATCCGTGGGGAGCACAGGTACCACCTCGGGCACCCGTGACGGGCAGCCGGGTACCCGAGAGCCTGAAACAGCCCGAGATACCCCGATAGCCACAAAACCAAGAAACAGCAACAACAAACTCACCATCTGGAAAGGGGAAAAGAGGACAAAAAGGGTGGAAAACTCCCCAGGAATGTAGGAATTGGCAAAAAGTATCAGCTGCTTCAGCTGGAGGAAGAGACAAACAGCCTGGGAAAGCAAAAATTGACCTGAGAAAAGTAGAAAATAACGTTATCTACGGGCTGTTCCAGGTGGAACCGAAACTGCTCCAAATAGTGGTGTCCTACGCCCCCTCACGTCGCTATGGTGTAAAAATTACTCGCTTTCTACCCAAAATGGAGCTTCTCCCTGCAAGAATTTCTCTACATGAGTCAGGACCTGTGCAGGGGGATGCCTGACTGACTCCAGCTTCCCAGACATGGATCGTCCGTGCAGGCAGACTGTGTCCCTCGTCGAATGGCCTCGCTCCTGGGAGCACTTTGATGAGCACTATACTGGTAACATTTCAAATAATACGTATATATAGGTATTCCTATAAGGAATTAATCATAGATATACATACTTCTAATACAGATATGCAGATAGGGAGATATGCAGATAAGTAGATACTTGCTGCTTTAGTAGTGGTAATTTTGATAGTAGCCTGAAATATATACATATACTTGCTTTTCTGGGAGTCATTTTGTTGTAATGTAAAATACATACTTGCTTTACCAATGGTAATTTGTTTGCTTGGGAAACTTGAGCACGCCAAACTGCTTCTGCTGCTTGGGACAGGTGCTCGGTCAGATTTTGTCTACCCTGCTAGAGCAAAATGATTGGATTTCACAGCCTTTTGGTAACAGCTTTGCTAATTAGGTGTAGCCAGAGCTTCCCAGGGAGGGAGGAAGGACACGAAGGCACAAGCAGGAGGATGCAGAGAGGGATGCTGGCAACATCTCTTCCACAGCCCTGCACATCTGACGTGCTCCAGTGTACAAACACAGGGACCTATTTACCCAGGGCACATTTAAACTCTGCGTACACTTTCAGTCTTTCCCAAAGGCCCAGATTTAGCTGTTACACTGCACAAAGGTATTTCCTGGAGCCTAGAGGAGGCTTTTCTGATTACAAACACAGCTGCCGTGCATAAAGCTGCCTACAAGGGCCATCAGATAAACCTCAAAGCTAAAACCTCCCCTGAAAAGCATCCCCAGGGTGCAGCCCAGAAGCACTTTTCAACCCTTTCTTATTTGGGTGGCATCTTCTCACAAATCCATCTGCCCCCGGGACTGTGGGCCTTGCCAGGGCAGCTGCTTGCCAGGTCCCAATGACTCAGGGAACAGGTGCAGGTTAAAAATACCCTCACCCGGCTTCAGAGGAAGGTCGCCGGGTTGGTTTTAATCCCAGCTCATTCCCCTTAAGATGAAACCGCAGCAGCAGGAGCCGGGCTGGCGGGGCGAGGGAGGGGACGGGGATGCAGGAGACCCACAGCAGCAGCAACAGCTGCCCCCGAGCGTGGTGGCTCTTCCCACAGAGCCAGACGTCAGGGATAAATCCAGCATCTCCAAGGTCTGTCACCAGCTGCAAGCCACCACCAAAGCCTGAAGCCCACTCAGGGTCCGACAGTGGGGAGCACAGCCCTCCGCAACCACAGGCTTCGGGTACCCCCGAGGGGTTATTTCCCACCCTTGAAGATCACGGCAATATCAACGAGGATAATGCATGCGCTTTTATTAGTAGCAGCAGATGTTAAAAAAAAAAAAAACACAAAACCAAAACAACAGGTCTCCAAAATGAATTACAGACAGCTCCCCGAAAAGTCGAGATGCATTTTTTGTAAAACATGTGGCTGCATTCATCTTACACCTGCAAGTGCAATCTGCATTACATCTTAAAACAAAGGTTGAAATCTAGTTTTTTTTCCACCCAAACTGCTCAGCTTCCTTTAACGCTTTAATTGCAACATGAAATCCCAGGCTGAGAGATGGCCCTTTGCTGCCAGCCCCTTTATATCCCGGTTATCTCCCCGGGACCAAGCCATGCCGCAGCCCCTGCCCGAGCAGAGGTGTAAGACAGCTCAGCGACTCTCACGCCATGGGATACAATTCGAGCTTCTCCTGGGTGCAATTCCACTCTCTGATAACCCCGAGGAGAGGGAAACCCACCCCTGCCCCAGCCAGGAAAGCCCTTTGCTGCAGAAGCAAGTCTACAGGCAAGACCCAAGCAACAGAAACATCCAGCCGCACCGCTCCGCATTTGCTGGCTGTGGCTGGGAGCAAGGAGAGGTCCCCAGGCCACCAACTGCTCTGGGGGAGAAGTGAGCACCCAGTAGGTAGATGAGGGCACCCGAAACACCTGCCCCCCCTCAGCGGTGCTGGGGACTGGCTCAGACAGGGTGCTGGACCTGGGGTTGTCCCCATCAGAACGCAAGACGGGTGCAAACGCCCCGGCCCCGAGGTCCAGCGCTCCTGGGAGAGCGTCCAGTTTTCTCCAGGGTGAAGATGCCAGTTGTGCCTCCAGACTAAGTGATTTCAGCTCTAAAAAAGGAATAACGACCCCTTTGCAAGCAAAGCCCAGAGGAGCTTTGCAGAAGCAGCATGGGGAAGGGAGGCGGCAGGACTCGGGGAGGAGGCAGGGCTGCCCTGGCCGTGGCAAACCAGACCAAGTGTGCCATCACCCGCAGGAGCAGTGGAGGAAGAGGAGGGGACACCCCCAGATCCCCCCGGAGCCCAAGGCTGGAGGACAGAGGAGGAGGGCTCAGGAGCATCCCGATGTGTCCCATGCCAGGCTGCATCGCTGCTCTACCACAGCTGGGATTTCTTTGGGGTTTCCTTTCTAAAACAAAACTACTTTCCTGCTCCTCCATCCCCTGCCGCCCTCCCCTGGCTCTGCTCATCAACCAGACTCCCCAGCGAACAGAACAGCAAAATCCTGCCCTTCTTCCTCCCTCCGAGGGCCAAACCGAGCAGAACGCCCGTGGTCTCAGCCCCTGTGCCACCCTGGCAAGTCCCAGGCACCCAAGCACACCAGGAGGCCACGGTGAGGGGCTCAAGCCCCAGGGAGGCAGGGGCTGGCACCGGGGCTGGGGTTGGTGGCTCTTTCCAGAGCCATCCGCCCATCACAAGCACTGACACACACCCACACCCACACCCCCACACCCACACCCACACACACACCCCCGGCCTCTGGAGGAAGCCAGGGGAGGGGTCTGGAGCAGCAGCCAGGCCACAGGCACGGCCATGCCCACCTCCCCCCCCCAGGGATGTGCAAGGCGCCCTGGGGAAGAGCAGGACAACACAGAAATAGTCCAAGCCTGTGTTTTCACAAAAAAAAAAAAAAAAAATAAAAATAAAATATTTGTGGGGTTCAGCAGCTTGAGCAATTCCGAGGTGAGCCCAGAAGAGGTCAGGACAGCATCAAGCGTCCGGCGCTCCCCAGGCAGCATCCACCCCCCCCCCCCGCCCCGTCGGGGAGGGCAGCAAGGGCGCAGCCGCTCAAGCTCTCTACCTGCAAGGAGAAGAGAGATCTCCATCAAAACCATCTCCTGCACGCGGATCCTCCTTCTGCCACCCACCCAGACCCCCCCGAGGCCTGGGGCAGCGGCAGGGTGTCACATGCTGGCAGTGGAAACGCTGGGAGGGTCTGGACTTGTGCTTTACTCCGAATTTCAGGAGCTACCTCGGCCGACTTATCTCCAGGAGGAGTTATCTGGGACCCGGCTGCACAAGACAACTGAGAGCTCGCTTATTTTCAGCTGGCCATAACGTGGGATGAGGTTTCTTATCCTTAGGGGATCACAGCCTTGTCCTCGCCTTCCAGGAAGCTTCAATGAACAATCCAAGCTTTTTGTGGTCACATAGGGTGAGCAAGCTCTGAGATTTCGAGAATCAATCACTTCCCAGAAACATCTGAAGCCCTTTTGAGAATTCAAAAAAAAAAAAAAAAACCACCACCCATTACAGAGCATGTTTCAGAGCAGGTCTGCACATCCTCTGCGTCTGCTGCACCCCAGAGGCTGCCGCTTGGCTTACACCAATCCGAAAAGGATTGCTGGAAACCAGAGTTTGGCCCCATCTGAGCCACAAGAGGTACTTTGGAGAAGCTGAGCGTTTCCACGCCGGGCAAGCTTCTGATCTCCCAAAAAACACAGGACAAGTTTTTGACTGCTCGTGCAACGGGAGGAATTGGGACGCGACCAGCACTTATTACCCCGGTACACATGGCTTCAGAAAAAGCTTAATGAGAATTAAAACACGAGTGTAGAGGGAGAACAGGTGATGGAGCAACGGGGTGATGGGCTGGGAGGAATTCCAAGGTTCCTGCTGTGCTGGAGATAACCAGCAGTATCAGGCTCTGGGTGGGGGAATTGAGGATGTTTCCAGAGCAAATCCCAGTGGGGACAGCAAATCCTTTGAAACCCTTGGGCTGCCTCTTACCACTGTGAGGAGAGGCTGGCAAGGGACCCCGAGCCCTCCTACTTGTCCAGCTTAGTTCCAAACCAACTGTAAATTTTGGCTCGTGGATATGGCCGGAGGAGCAGGGCCACCCCCAAGAGAGGGGCTGGAGGCATCTTACCTACAGCTGCCGCGACACGGGCGGTCCCTTCTCTTGCACCAGACGAAGACACCTGGGGACAAACCAGTCATCATCTCCATTAAACACCCTCAGGATGGTGCTGGGCCAGGAAAACTCGAGCCAGGCGGGTTATCTGGGGTCTGGAGGAAGCCACCCCTGCCCATCTCCACGCTGCCCCACAGGTAGCAGTCCCCCCAGCCCAGCCGCTGGCCACCAGCTCCGGCCACGTGCGAGCGGGTACCAGGGGAGAGTCACAGGGATGAGGACACCGATGAGCCCTTCCAGCACCTACCCAGCGCCTGGAGGCTTTTCACAGGAAACACCTGACAGCTTTGTGCAATAGCAAAACACAGATAGAAATCACCTAGGGAGAACCTCCCACTTCTACTTTGAACTGCCAGATCCTCTTCTCAGGTCCGGACTTGGGCGTTTCTTTTTGTTTTTTCCCCTCTGAGTTTGCAGTTGGCAATCTGAGAATTAAAAGCCCCACTTTGCCAGGGACTGGAGGTGGGCCGGAAAAAATGTTCTCCGGCTCCAAAAAAAGGAGGAAAAGCAAGATCACTGAGGGAGGAAGCACGTTTCCCTTCTGTGGGCAGAAACCGGCAGCAGAACGTGGCAGGGGGGGAGGTTCAGTGCTCTTACCCTAGAAGGGATGTGCAACATCCCCCAGCACCCATGGGACTTTGTGGGGGCAGGGGTTGACCCAGATAAGGAACATATAATCGGATGCCTGCTCTGGACACGCAGGAGGCATTTTCACAACAACCCTCCCTTCCACGTCTGGGAGCAGGGGGGCAAGGGAAGGCGACAGAGGATGACATCACCCCCTCGGATTGGGGACACCCTGCTTGAAGTGACAGCAGGGCCAAAGCCCACGAGATGCCTGGGTGGGAGACCCAGCACGGACGTGCCACATCACCCAGCACGGACCCTCTCACCCCCTCCCTTCTCGCGCGCAGCACCCGCCGTGGCACACACACACACCCCACACACCCCCCCCCGCCGAAAAGCCACGGTAAAGACTCACCTGCGAGCAAGCCGATGACAACACACGCCAGGATCATGGGCAACACCACGTTGGCAGCATCTGCAAAGGAGAAGATCCCCAGGCTCTGCAGCCAGACCGAATTTAACCCCCTACCTACACCCTCCAAGCAAAAACCTGCCACCAGGCAGTTCCACTCGGCGCAGGGACGTGGAGGCACCGGGCAAAAGGGTATATTTTGTGGGGGGGCTATTTCCCCTGTTTCTCTTCCCGGGCGCCAGGAAGAAATCCCCACTTACTCTGGACGTGCAGCAGGAAGGAGGTTTCATTCTGGCTGACTTCGTTGCGGACCACGCAAGCGTAGTAGCCGCTGTCGTTCATCGCCGCTTTAACGATGCACAGGGTGGTGTTGTCAACAAACTGGATGCGGTCGCTTCCCAGCAGCAGCTCCCCGTTTTTCTTCCACCAGTACAAGTCCGCCTTCCCTTCCACGACGTTGCAAACCAGTTTGGTGTTGGCCCCCGCCTTCACTGAGGAGTTGCCCAGGATTTCTGGCTCGGCCAGCGGTTCTGCGAGAGACGGAGGGACGGTCAGCGTGCGAACCCGCAGCACCTTCCCCCGCGGCGGCTCGAGCTCCCCGGCCGCGGCGGAGGGTTTGTTATCACCCCGTCACTCACCGACAACGCGCAGCTGGAACCAGCCCGTGGCCTCCGACTCAGACCGGGCCCGGTACAGCCGGTCGTCTCCCCGCTGCAGCACGATCTGCAGCGAGAAATCCGTTTCGTTGAACCTCGTGCGATTCTCGTAAAGGCGAGACGTGTTGGTGGGTCTGTCGAGAGCATAATCGACGATGACTCCTTCCCCCGAGCCCGTTTTGTATTCCCAGACGACAGCTTTGCTGGCTTTCAGCAGCGGGACCGTCAGGAGCACAGTGCAGCCCACGGCCGAGACCAGCCGCTCCGATGCCGGCCTGAGGTCAGCAGAATAGCACGGAGAAAGCGTGCGGGCTGAGAAAGAAATCCGGTGTTACTCAACAGCTACTGAGATTCAACTTCATCCGCCCGGGGAGGCGGCTGCAGAAACGCTCCCGGGCTCAGCCGCTCCGCCAACGGCAGCGCTGGGGATTTAATTATTTCTGGCTTTAAGCAGCGAGGTGGAAAAGCACAAGGTCCCGACGGTTCTGTACAAATTCCCTTCGTATCTCCCGCCCTAAAACCCACAGTTTTTTGGTCAGCTTCGGGTATCTGCACAGCTCCAGCAGCTCGTACCTGGGGCTCAGCCAACCGCTCCCACTCGGGAGCCCTTTTCCTCCCTCTCGCTCTCCCGGGGGCACCAGCCCACGGGTGACTGAGCTAACGGAGCCCTCGCCGGCGCCTTCCCGGCGGATTCCTTGCCAGGAAAACGCGCGAAGAGACGGGAAAGCCCGGGAGCCCCTTCCCGAGCTTCCTTAAAAAAACCTTTCGGCCGGGGAAAAGCCGGGCTCGGGGAGCGCCCGAGCCTGGGACTGCTTCAAAAAAGAGCCCGGAAAAACGCCCGGCGAGGGGGCGCAGCCCCACGGCCACTCGCAACTCCTCCCAGGTCACCAGAACACCCCAAAAACCCGCGCGGCGCTGGACCCACGGGCACCCGTGGAGCGGGACCGAGCACCCACGCGGGGGTGGAGCCCGCATTCCCACCCACCCCCCCCCCGCGGTGGCAGAGACTTGCCTGTGACCCCCAGGCCGGCTGCCGAGCTGCCGGGGCAGGCGAGCAGGAGGAGGAGGAGGAGGAGGAGGAGGAAAAGGGGCAACATCTGCGGGGCCGGAGCGGCGGCGACTCCGCCACGAGGCACCGGGAGGGTCCCGGTGGGGCGGGGAAAGGGGCGGGGCACGGGCGGGGCGTGGTCGTGGGTGGGGCCAGCGGCGGGGCGGGGTAACGGCCCGGCCCCTCTTCCTCTCCGCTTCTTCTCTCCTCTCCTTTTCCCTTCTTCCTCTTCCCCATTTCCTCTCCTCCTCTTCCTCTCTTCTCTTCTTCACACTCTTCCTCTCCCTTTTCCTCTTCTCTTTCTCTCCTCTCTTCTCCTCCTCTCTCCCTCTTCCTCTCCCTCTTCCTCTCCCTCTTCCTCTCCCTCTTCCTCTCCCTCTTCCTCTCCCTCTTCCTCTCCCTCTTCCTCTCCCTCTTCCTCTCCCTCTTCCTCTCCCGCTTCTTTTCCCTCTTCCTCTCCTCTCTTCCTCTTCCTCCTCCTCTCTTCTCCCTAGTTCCTCTCCTCTTCCCCCTCTCCTCCCCAGGGCAGGCAAACTCAACCCGCAGGAAGAAGCCCCAAATGCCCCTTGTGGACCTGCTCTATTTGCCACGGTTGAATAATAATAAAAAAAAAATAAAATAAAATAAAACCAAACCAAACAAAACAACAACAACAAAAAAAACACACACACACACACACACAAAAATAAATGAAAAACAAAACCACCCCAAATGCCAGGTCAGAAAGGGCGCTGGGGGAATGGCATCGCCGTGGTCCCTGAGGTCCTTTGTGGGACAGTGGGGGCAGGTGAAGGAGCCCACGACGGCAGCAAAAAACAGAGTTTAAACCATTTGCCGGAGCAGCCTCCGAGGCCGGGGCAGGGCTGTGCGAGGGGACGGGGCTGCGGCTGAGAAACGGCTCTGCCTGCGAGTCCCGCTGCTCCCACAGAAGCTTTATCACATAAAGCACAAGACAGGGGGAGGCAGTTTATTTTTTTTTTTCCCCTTCCCCACATCGTTTCCATCACCTTGGCAGCTTAGGAGGGTGGTAAAGGGTGCTGGGGCGAGCACGGCGGTTTTGCCGTGGCAAAACCCTGCGCAGTGCGTGGCCTGCTTCTGCGGAAAACAACCCTGGAGAGACGGGGAGAAGGAAAAATAAAAACACACTGAGCCAAGCCAAACTGGTTTGAGAATCCCCCCCCCGCCCAGTGCAGGAGCGTTTCCTGTTGAGGGCAGGTTCAGGCACCACCGCGGCGTCTGTTCCCCACCCCACGCAGCTTCCAAAAATGCGATTTGCTCAGCACCCGCCGTGGCTGGGGCCCCGCGGGCCCCTCCCAACGACCGGGGGGCGCTGGTGTTTGTTTGGGGGGATCTTCCGACACAGGGGCCCCGCTTGCACCCCGCAGCCTGAACAAGCCCAGCCTGGAGGAACCTGTGGCTGGTGAAGCAAAGAAAAATAGCGGGGGGGTGTGCTGGGACCACAGCCAGAGAAAGGCACTGTTAGTCCTTCCAAGTATAGCAGGGCTGCAAACTTCACCTGAAACAGTGTGTATATATATATATATATATATATAGTATATAGATATATATCTTATATATATATATATATATGTATATGTCAATCAGAGATGTGTAGATGAACAGACAGGCCTCTGGCTTCTTTAACTTTGAATTGTTGAATCATGGAATGAATCATAGAATGAATCACAGACTGGTTTGGGTTGGAAGGGCCCTCAAAGCCCCCCCAGTGCCCCCCCCTGCCCCGGGCAGGGCCCCCTTCCCCCAGCCCAGGGGGCTCCCAGCCCCGTCCAACCTGGCCTTGAACCCTTCCAGGGAGGGGGCACCCACAGCTGCTCTGGGCACCCTGGGCCAGCGCCTCACCCCCCGCACAGGGAGGAATTTCTGCCTTAGAGCTCATCTAAATCTGCCCTCTGTCAGTTTAAAACTGTCACCCCTTGCCCTATCCCCACACCCCCTGATCCAGAGTCCTTCCCCACCTTTCCTGTCCCCCCTTTAAGCACTGGGAGGAAACCTTGTAGACCACTAAAAAAATAAAACCCAAATGGTAGAAATCTCCACCGACGCTGTGGGGACAGTAGCTGGCACTGTCAGGGGAATGGCCAATATCACACCTGTGGTTTCACCCCTTGTCCTACCACCACGTGCCCTTGTATAAAGTCCCTCTCTGGCTTTCTGGTAGCCGGGAGGACGCAGAGGCCACACGCCTGAGGTGGCTGCGGCTGGAAACAGGCAGCTCAGCTCTGCCCAGGTCATGAATTCACACCTTTTGGCAGCTGTGTGTGCCCAAAACCTCAGGGAGAGCCGGGGCAGGGACGGAGCCACCACCTCATGAGCCAGCCTCCGCCAAAGCCGAGGCTTTCGGGTTGTCGCTTGGAGGATGCTCTGCTCCCTCCACGGGTACCAGCCTGCATGTGGGGCAGAGTGAGGGGAGCAAGAGGCGGGGGGAAAGGCAGGGGCAGGACCCGGCGTGGCTGGAGGAAGATCTCCAGGAGGACAGCGAGAGAGGAACCGTGGGCACAGGCGGTGCAGCAGCGGGGAGGCCCCGGAGCCATCCCACTAGAGGGAGTGAGAAGATCGGCTGTGAGGAGGCGGGCGGGAGGGTTGGGATGAAGGAGCCCGACTCCAAGGAGCTGCAGGCAGAAATCTGCCCTTCGTCCCCCCAACCTGAGCCGGGGGATGCTCCTGGCCTGGGCACCACACACGTCCCGGGAGCGAGCAGTCCCACCTCGGGATGTCAGACAGCGGGGCCGGCCCCAGCCTCCCCCTCTCCATCCATCCCTCCCCTAACGAACTCCCACCAGCAAAGCAGGGAGCAGCTCCCACGGCCCCCCCGGAGCCCCTCCGTCCCCTCTTGCTTGGCTCCCAAGCCCAGCTACCTCCAGGTCCCAGCCCCGGGCACGGGGAAGAGCCATGAGGATGCCCGGCACGCTCTCGCCCCGATGCTGCAGGTGAGGAACCGAGGCAGCAGCGGGGCAGAGCTGAGCCCCCCCGGGACCTGGCACTGCTGCCCGGCCATCCCCAGGGGACGGGGAAAGGGGGGCAGGCAGCATCCCAGCACTTTGTGAAGGTTTTCCAGTCGGCCCTGGCCCTCGCCAGCGGCTCCCGGAGCCGTCAGGAGGAGGTTGGGGACTGAGGGCGTTTTGGTCACTGTGAGGAACTGAAAGAACCAATGCCTCAAATATTCCTGCACGAGTTCCCGGAATACCTGCCTCTCTTTGTCTCCTGTGAGGATCAGCTGATAAAATGAACTCAAAAGGCGACAAAACTTTGTGAGTGTGCACCCACCACCCAAGAAAACCAGACCTGAGACAATACTGGAACATGAGTGGTAAACCAGACTCATTTTTTTTCTCCTCTTCCCCTCCTTTCCTTTTCTTTTCTTTCCTTTATTTTCTTCCTTATAGGTTTATCAATAAGAGACCACATCACTTTCCATGTTTAAGTTGTTTCTACATCAAGCAAAACGTTTTAACCGGTCGCTTGGTGCCATTTCACCTTAATTTAACCCGAGGGGATCGCAGAACTTTTACGACTCCCTGGGCTCCCAGTCGTAAGTCGTCACCCATGTGCCCCCTCCTAGCACACGGCTTGCCACCACGTTTGGCTAACACCACGGACGCAGAGCGCCGGAACAGGCGCCTTTAGACCCACCTTTCCCTGCCCCCCTGCACCTTCCCCTCGCGCGGGGACGGGCGCGGGTGCCCTCCTGCGCCGTAGGACGCCTTGGGCAGGAGGGGACGGTGGCAGGACACGGCGGGGCTGCCCAGATGCCGGGCTGCCCCCGGGTCTTGGTCCCGCTGGGAGAGCAGGAGCAGAAGCAGATGCCTTGGAGGACAACTGGGACCGGGGACAAGAGGCACAGCTGACCCGCACAGGCGGCTGACACAACCGGACCCCAGCTGGGCTGGGCTCTGGCTGTCCTTTTTCCTCTTTTTCTCTTTGTTTTGGTTTGTTTGGTTTTTGGTTTTTGTTTTGTTTGTTTTTTTTTTTCCCTGCTCTGCTTTGCCAGGAGGTTGCAAAACGCAGGCAACGAGTCAAAACAACGCGGAGCTGCCTGTTACCCTCCGCAGCCCAGGGGCAGCCGGGCACCTTGTCCCAGCTCAGGGCTGGCAGGAGCAGCCCAAGGATGGAGACGTCTTCCTTCGGGGTGCAACGACGGGTCCCGGGGCCGAACCAGCCCAGACCTTGCTGGGCAGCTGGAGGACACACACCCCAGCTCTCCATCCCAGCTTCTGGGAGTGGGAGCTTCTGGTCAGCGTGGGGCGGCTTGCGCCCGTCCAAGCCACCCTATCCTGTCCCATTTGGGGTGACCACCAGCCCCTCCATCCTGGCAAGGCGTGGGGCTGGAGGCTGCTGCAGCTCCGCCGTGGGCTGAGAGCAAGCGGAGGGGCCGAAACCTGCTGGCCCTCAGCACCGCGCAGCCAAAACCACATATTTCAACCCAAAATGAGCAAGGTTCGCCCAGAAAGAGGGTTTCTACGAAGACAGAGCCAGGCAGCGAGCACACGCTGGCCCCGCGAGGTGCCTTGGCAAGGGGAAGGGGCCTCCCGCAGCTCTGCGGGTAGTAAAAGCATCTCAGCATCCTCACAAGGAGCTGGATAGTTCTGGGGAGGGACGAAGGCATGAAAAAAGCCCTGAGCCAGCAGGAAACTCGTGGTGGGAATCTCTGCGTCAGCTCCAACCACGGCTTTGCTGAAACTGGGGTGTGTGTGTGTGTGTGTGTGTGTCCCCGCCGGCAGCCTCCGCGTGCCTTGCACCGTTCTCCAAATTCCCGGGACCAAAGCGGAGGGGGCTCTGCCCCTCGCAGAGCGAGAGCAGGCTGCGTAGCGGTGTGCCTGCGTGGGCGGGGGGGGGGGGCAGGGTCTGGGGCCTCTTGGAGGGCAGGAGGGTCCCTGCACAGGTCTGGCCACCGGCCTGGCGCAAACCGGGCAGTCCGAGGCTGGCCCGGGTGAGTTTAAGGGGAAGGACAAGGCTGAAAAGCAAAGTTTCAATTTAAACAGATTGCTGGGACTGCGGTTTGTAGACTCCTACCACGCGGCAGCAAGGGATGCTGTGTATGGCACAGTGCTGTGGGGAAACTGAGGCAAGGAATGGGGCCAACCCCT